AGCTTCATGTGTGCATTATTGTATGGGGATCATGTTGGTGCACCAATGTATTGACCAAACGCCTCACGACGAACCTCCTCTTCACCTCATGTTGTTCCGCAGCAACAGTTCATTCGACACCAAAAGCATTCATAGTTTATACTGTGTTTTTGCGACCTTGGTCAACGTGAGGTACTTTCATCTAGCTCACCAATCAAAACATGGGTTGGTTTGGTGCACATTTAATGATGCTGCTGCTAAATGGAGAGAGTCATGATAAATTCTTTATATAAACAAGTACATTGCATCAGCTATCAGCACACAAGAAGGGTACAATTCTCCCCAGCAATTTATCCTAAAGACCTGTACTGACACGTGTATTTACACGGAGCTGCTTCCAGGAGATGAGTCAAGACCTGTACTGAGACGAGTTGGGATCACTGGCAGTGGAAGGGGGGTTGTTGGGGGTGAGTCTGATATGGTTGATCCCTAAGGGACAGTGAGGAGGAGGCGGGAGGGGGAGGTGGTGTGGTGCGGTTGTCGTGCCATTCTAAGAGGGGGAAGGTGCTGGGGTGGTTGTGGTGTCGGCTGAGGGGAAAGGGAGAGGCAGAGAGGGGGAGGTGGTATTGGTGGAGGGGGAGGGGGAAGGCAGTGAGGGGGAGGTGGTATTGGCGGAGGGGGAAGGGGAAGACAGTGAGGGGGAGGTGGTATTGGCGGAGGGGGAGGGGGAAGGAAGTGAGGGGGAGGTGGTATTGGCGGAGGGAGAGGGGGAAGGCAGTGAGGGGGAGGTGGTATTGGCGGAGGGGGAAGGAAGGGGCAGTGAGGGGGAGGTGGTATTGGCGGAGGGGGAAGGGAGAGGCAGTGAGGGGGAGGTGGTATTGGCGGAGGGGGAAGGGAGGGGCAGTGAGGGGGAGGTGGTATTGGCGGAGGGGGAAGGGAGAGGCAGAGAGGGGGAGGTGGTATTGGCGGAGGGAGAGGGGGAAGGCAGTGAGGGGGAGGTGGTATTGGCGGAGGGGGAAGGGGAAGGTAGTGAGGGGGAGGTAGTATTGGCAGAGGGGGAAGGGAGAGGCGATGGGGGGGAGGTGGTATTGGCAGAGGGGGAGGGGGAAGGCAGTGAGGGGGAGGTGGCATTGCCAGCGGGGGAAGGGAGAGGCAGTGAGGGGGATGTGGTATTGGCAGAGGTTGAAGGGGAGGGGGGAAGGCTAGCGGAAGGGAGGGGGGGAAGGGCAGCGGAAGGAAAGGGGGGAAGCGAAGCAGAAGGGAGGGGGGGAAGGGCAGCGGAAGGAAGGGGGGGAAGGGAAGCAGAAGGGAGGGGGGGAAGGGCAGCGGAAGGAAGGGGGGGAAGGGAAGCAGAAGGGAGGGGGGGAAGGGCAGCGGAAGGAAGAGTTGGAAGGGCAGCAGTCGGAAGAGAAGGGAGAGGCGAGGGCAAGAGCGGAATTCCCCCCAAACCTCCCCCCATACCTCCCGCCAAACCTCCCCCCAGAGCTCCTCCAATTGCCCCCAGCCCCCCTGCAGTAGCAGCAGCAATAGCCTCCGCTTCCACCGCTTTCGACCCCTTCCCCTTCCCAGCCGCCTTTGCTGCCAACCCTCCCATGGCTGCACCGCTTGTCACGCCTCCCAAACCTCCTATCACCGCACCAGCTGCTGTAGCAGCGGCACCACTGGCAGCATTGCCAGCACCAGGGGTGTTGCCAGTGCCAGCAGCACCAGCGCCAGTGGAAGCAGGCGGTGATGGAGGAGGTCGGATCGGCAGCGGTTCGAACGTGGCGGAGCCAGGGGTGGCGGAACCAGGGGTGGCGGAACCAGGGGTGGCGGAACCAGGGGTGGCAGAACCAGGGGTGGCGGAACCAGGGGTGGCGGAACTAGGGGTGGCGGAACCAGGGGTGGCGGAACCAGGGGTGGCGGAACTAGGGGTGGCGAAACCAGGGGTGGCGGAACTAGGGGTGGCGAAACCAGGGGTGGCGGAAACAGGAGTGGCGGAACCAGGGGTGGCGGAACCATCAAGGATGGTGACTTCGGAAGGCGAGGGCAGTCCGGGGATTCCCCCTCTTCTCATCATTCCGCCCACCCCTCTCCGCGCATTAGCCACAGCAGCAGAAACGGCAGGATAAGCGGCGCTTCCGGTAACCCCGCTGCTGCTGCCGCCGCTGCTGCTGCTGCTGGTCATGGTAGGGAGATTAGAGGGCGTAGATTGAGCAGCGGAAAGGCGAGGGGTGGCGAGCAGGAGGAGCGGGAGGAGGAGGAGCAAGGAGAGGCGAAGGGGGCGGAGTTCCATGGCAAATCGAAAGAGGCTTCGATTTGAAGGCCGCGGAATACTAGCCATGGAACCTGCTTTGATGTAGAACGATGAGCGGCAAGCTGCGACACGTCACGGCGAGTAACGGTTACTATTAGTTCAGGATTGACTCGACGCGTCACGTTGAACGTTCTGAAGCCGGAGCAGCGGCGCGCTGCTAGTCAGTTCCGACCGACTTTTCTTGGTCACTAGGAAACGTCGTTGAAGCGAATTTTTGAGGCGTTTCAAGAATTAAAGCGCTGATGTTGTCTGTCGGGCGAAAGATCTCGTGAGGCGAGAGACGAGAGATGAGAAAGTGTGGTTGACTGACAGGTTTCGGCGGCCTTTTATGCACGCTACTAGCGTTAGCATCGGCACCAGCTCCGCGCGCATTGACATAATCGAGGCGACATGTTAGAAATAAAATCAGCGATTGCGCTCTAAACGCCGGTGCACAAAGCGGTGCCGAAGCTACCATGCGGAAGACTTGGTCGGGACCGGCAAAAGGGCGGAGAAAAGCATCGCATGCGGAAAAGCTAGCCAGTATCTTTCTCTGGCAGAGTCGAACCGCGTGCGTCAACCATTCTCTGTCGACCCCCGCTACGAGATTTCCGCCTCATCAAGCCAAGTTCTGAATGGAAGCTGCGAGCTGAAAGCTTATTCAGTGAAGGAACCATGGTTATCGAAACGACTTCAGAATAGCCCGATGTTTCGCTTATTTTGAGCTTTAGCATTGACAGTACGAAACTAGGATGCTACACCCTGTATTGATATCGCCAGCCTGTAGCAGTGATCTGGATCATGCAAGGAAGTATGAGTAGGAAGAGGTGTGACTCTCCTGAGGTTCTCAACTCAAAACGGCGTTGTCTTCCAGTGAAAGGGAAACAGGTGTGGTCGGCTTCTGAACGGACAAGAGAGATTTATGTGGGAGTGGTTGCATTGCAAAGTTTCGCATTCGTAAAAATTGAGATTCCAGTGCTTTTTTAGGAGCGCCCGAGGCGCGAATCTGAGATCCGGAAATCGAGAGAACTTTGAATTTGAGAAATCGAAGCGCGGACCGCCTGCCTGACTGTAACGTTTCGTGGTTGAGGCCGATTGACCAGTCAGATCACATGAGGCAGAAAAGTTTCTCGTGCGAGACGGCTAGCGAGATGACTTTTTTTTTTTTTTTTTTTGGAGGTGTAAATATATTATCAAATATAGATACATCCGCAGTCGTAACTGTATATCTTGGAGGGTCTAGGCCACGCCTTGTGGACGCCGCACCGCCCCCCTATGGCATGCTACGGAGGCTGATAGAAAGTGCGCGGGTTGCGCCAGATGGAGAGGAAAGGAGCCGCCCAAATTGTTGGCCCACCATCACCGCAAATCTTCTGAAGCTGCAACTTCTCATCCGCAGCCACATGGCTCCAGTTGTCTGTCTTCCAGAAACTTCTCCCTTCATCGGCCGCTGCCAGCCTTCCCCTTGCTGCCAGCACCACCCTCGCATGCGTCATGAAGTCCAGCACAGCACATCTCCCCACCTTCTTTCTCTCGAAAGGAGCTGCGCGCCAAACTGCATTGCATCGCGCCAACCAGATCTGCCTAAGCACCACTGATGTCAGCGTCATCTCCGGAAAACCTGACGCTGTGCCCTTTTCGCCAAACAGTAGGTCCCCCAGACAGTCCACCGACCTGCCCGGGTTCAGCATGTGCAACGTCCGCTTCAGCGCGCCAATGATCGGTTGTATGACCGGGCTAGCGAGATGACTGTAGAGAACGTTGACGAAATGAAGGTCGCAGGGTGGGCCAGAGTAGGAGATAGTTAAAGCGACGGTGCACATTTGCCACCCAAAACCCAGAACCCTGGCGAACTGTTACTGCGGATGGAAAGTGTCCGCACGAAATCCTGGTTTTCGCCAGCCAGCACTTTCGCGCTGGCAAGCCTGGTTAAAAAAAAAAACTTCTGAACCCAACACTTACGCAATGGACCTGACATGCGACCGAAACAGTAGGAGGACATCGCGGATGTTCGCAAAACAAAAGCTACCAAGGATGATTTCGCCACTTCTTGACTTCTCGAGCTTCCTGTCCCTTCTCCTCCTATCCCCGTCTAAATCAAACCCGATTCTCTCAGCCAATCGCATCCAGTCACCTGCGTCTGCAAACCTTATCCTGGTAATTCAAGGTAAATCTACCTTTGTCGCCCATTGCGTTCCGTTCCCAACGCATTTGACATCTTGGTTGTGCTCCCATTCACCCTTCCTTCCTGAAAACGCCTTCACATACCTCACCGACTTCAATCAAAGACCCTCGAACAGCGCATAGGCGGTGCCCACCAGCCCTTATTTTTTCGTCTCTTTAAAACCGGGGTTCCAAGAGTTTCGAAGTTAGGAAGGTTGCTTGGGGGAAGGGACGTGAGTGGCGCGCGAACCAGGGTGGTGTCGAGTTTTGTGGTTGCGGATCGCAGAGCCTGAGTACCTCGCATCCGTAACCAGATCTTGAATGCAACTGTAGGAATTCATTCGCAACAATTTCGGACGGCCTTCGAAATTGTGAGCGAAATTGTCACTGCTATCGTTCTCGTCAGTACAGCAATTTCGCTTGACGAAATTTGTTTCGACAGTTTGCGAAGCGAGCGAGCATCTACTCGGTCACACCCAACCAAAGTTAGGAAGGTTGAGGCACTTTTGGGCTGTTTGGGACTCCGGTTTAGGGTTTAATACCGTGTCGTACGGGTTCGATTCTTACAGAGTCATTTTGCAATATGGCTGACGAGGAGATCAACTATGAGAGCGACGCGGGGTTAGATTCTATTTTCTTCACCCGCCCCAAGGGCCCGAATCCTCCGCCTACGCCGTATCTTTACGTGGCAAACTGCGGTGCTGAGGCGGAGATGACGGATGCAGCCCTTGCTGACGTGTTCTCCTCCTTCGGCCACGTCCGCCGCGTCGTCCCGGCCGGCGCCGCCAATCTCACCCGCATTTTTGTCGTTTTCGGCGGGCGCTCGCGCGCTGAGGCCTCCGCTGCGGCGGAAGCTGCACTGCAGGCGCTGAGCGGAAAGCCGTGCGCGGACGCGGGCGGTAGGAAGATGCACATCCAGTTCGCCGTGGGGAAGCGATCCGCGCCGGTAGGCTCTTCTTGTTTTGGCACCTCCCACAGGCCTTTTCATCAGTAGAAACTCGTTGTTACAATACAAAAAAAGCCAACAACGGGCGGACGAAATATGCACATTCAGTTCGCTGTGTGGAAGCGATTCGCTCCGGTAGGCATTGTTTGCGAACACTCATAAGGGAAACTCAGGTTTTAATATTTCTGTATTTTTTTCGGGGTTCATTACGATATCAGGGGTGTACTAGTCGGATGACATCAGATCTGGGACACAGGGTTTGGGGGTTTACATTTTTTTTACACATTTTGTTTTCCCCGCAGGTGGAGCATCCGGTGGTACACCACAATGTTGACGCGCTCGCTATACCGGGGCTGTTCCTCCACCTCGATTTTGTCACACCCGAGATGGAACAGGTGTGAGGATTGGGGGGGTGAGGGTTCAGGGTTCAATGCGGGAACAGTTGTCACTCTCTTACAATCACATTTCCAGGCGTGGGTTGGCTTCGCTATGCACCTCGTTTTTGTCACTTCAAAGATGGAACAGGTGAGAGGGGTCGGGGGTCAGCTCATGGGTTCAGGCGTCAACAGTACGACTTACAAACACAATGGTGACTTACAAGCACAATGGTGACTTACAAGCACAATGGTGACTTACAAGCACAATGGTGACTTACAAGCACAATGGTGACTTACAACCACAATGGTGACTTACAACCACAATCGTGACTCACAAGCACAATGGTGAGACAATGGTCCGACAAGCACCATGGTCGGTCTGTTTCTCCCCGCTCCTCTCTTTCCCCCCCCTCCTTCCCAAACCAACATCTCCCCCCTCCCCCCTCTCCCCACAGAGTCTTTTGGAGTTTGCGGATGGCAACGATTGGCATTATCTGACAAAGAGGCGCGTTCAGCACCACGGTTACGCTTTCAACTACACTGTATGCTGTATAAGTGGATATGTGCTTTTAGGCGCCCTAAAAAATGGATGTTTATGGTTATGTTGTTATTATATGGCTGAATAAACTGCGGTGCTGTATGCAGCACCATTGGTTACGCCTTCATGAACACTGGATGTGTATAGATAGACTTACATTCTAATCGTATTCTTGTTTGTGCATTCTTCTACAATGGTAGGTTACATTGTGTGAGTACATTCACTTTGAATCCCCCCTTTGATGCCTCGTCCCTACGCCTCTCCACATTATCAATCCCCCTTGGCCTGTTTCTGCGTTGTAAGCGCTTTCTGATTGCTTTTCCGAAACTGCTTGCGTCCTCCTTCTTTCTCCTTGTCCCCTTCCCTCGCTGCTCCTCCCCCCCTCCCCCTCTCTCCCCTTTTTTCCCTCCTTCAGACACGAGACATCGAGAAAGACAAGTGGATCGGCCCGCTGCCCGCAGCAGTGTCGGATTTTGTTTCGCGGGCAGAACAGCTGCCCGAGCTCACGGGCTGCCCGGAAGTTTGCATGCCGCTGGACCAACTAACGGTGAGATCAGGGCGTGTTCGGGCTGCTTCATTCATGGAAACGATTGATTCGTGTTGGGTCGGTCTCGTGTACAGGAACTGCCGAACGCATGCTGTATGATTTGCTTGAGGTTGATTTTGATCTGCTCCGGTCCACAGGAAGGTAGGGGTGGGCCTGGGGAAGAAAACGCTGCTCCTTCTACCTCCCCCCTTCTCCCCTTCTTCTCCCTCTCCCCTTACGCCACAGATCAACGAGTACGAATGCAGGGGTGGGCCTGGCGCCGCACATTGACACGCATGCCGTCCTCTCTCATTCAAGGCCGCCGTGCTCTCGCTCTCCCTCAGCCCCCTCCCCCCCCCCCCCCACACCACCTTTCTCCATCTGTCCCCGCACAGATAAATGAGTCTGCAACAGGGGTGGGCCTGGCTCCGCACATTGACACGCATGCTGCATTTGAAGGCGCCGTTCTCACCCTCTCCCAGGCTGGCCCTGCGATTATGGAGTTCAGGAGACCCTTGGGGCTTCAACCCGTGGCCCTTCTCCCCTCTCCTTCCCCGCCCCCTTCCTTCGCAGATCAACGAGTACGGGGCAGGGGTGGGCCTGGCACCGCACATCGACACGCATGCTGCATTCGAGGGTGCTGTTCTCTCCCTCTCCCTGGCTGGCCCTGCGATTATGGAGTTCAGGAGACCCCTCGGGCCGCAACCCGTGGGGAAACAACCACTGGGGAAGAAAAAGGTTGTTGGTGGGAGCAGTGGGAGCAGTGAACAGGGTGTGGGGAGTGAGATTAGTAGGGGCAGCAATGGAAAGTGTGAGAGCAGTGACAGTGCCTGTTGCAGCAGCGACGACAATAGCAGAGGCAATGGTGCTGTCAGTGGTGTCAGCCAAAACAGCACTAACCATAGCAGCAGCAACAGCAGTGACTGTAGCGCAGTTAGAGCTGAGGAAAAAGCCGGAGTAGAAGCTAAGGAGGTAGCAACACCAAATGAGAGGAGAGCGGAGGAGAATCGAGAAGAGGAGAGGAGAGCAGAAGAGAAGAAAACCGAGGAAAGGAGAGCAGAGGACAGGAGAGTGCTCTTCCTACCCCCTCGCTCCCTCCTAGTCCTAACAGGGGAGGCCCGATACGCGTGGTCTCACTACATTCCCAACCACAAGATCGACCACATCAACGGTCAGGTTTTCCCGCGCGCCCCCCGCCGCGTTTCTTACACCTTCCGGAGGGTTCGGTTCGGCCCGTGCGGGTGTGCTTACCCTGAGTTCTGTGATGCTCCCAGAATGGAAAGTGTTGCCGAAAATGGAAAAGTGTCGACTGATAGGGACAGGGCAGCGGGAAGTGAGGGACTGTTGGTGGAGGGATCGGGAGCAGAGAAATTGCTTGTGAAGCAGAAGGGACGTGAGGGGATGAGGGAGAGAGTGGGAGATGGGTGTTGTGGAGGGAGTGTGGTGACACACTCTCACGAAGGGGTGGCAGAGTGTGGGGAGGAGGGGGAGAAGGGAAAGAAGGAAGAGCAGAGAATGGGAGGAGGGAACGATGGGGAACCTGTGATGACGCACTCGCATGAAGGAGTGGAGGAGCGCGCAGAGGAGGAAAGGGCAGAGAGGGAGGATGGGAAAGAGAGCTCCATCCCCCCTCATGTTGATCCTCCGAACCTTCTCGACTCTCCTCAAACCACCCCAGCAGTAGAGCGAGACTTTGTGCACAAGGTATACGACGCCATAGCGCCGCATTTCAGCGCGACACGTTTCGCGCGCTGGCCCAAGGTAGCTGAGTTCCTGCTCTCCCTCCCACCGGGCTCCCTTGTCCTCGACGCCGGGTGTGGCAACGGGAAGTACCTCAATGGTGGGCTGCCCATTCCCCCTGCTCTCCCTTCTGCTGCCTCTGTGTCTGTCTCTGCGTCTTCCTCTTTGTCAATGCGCACTTCCTCCTCCCCGTTCCCTTCCTCCTCCTCCACTCCTTCCTCCTCCACCCCCTTCCCTCCCTCCTCCTCCCCTTCCTCCGCCCCTACCCGCCCACCGGCCGTTCTGATTGGCTGCGACATCAGCCCGCCTCTCGTCTCCATCTGCACTCAGCGGGGCTTTGAGGCCTTTGTAGCCGATACCCTCTCGCTCCCCCTCGCTTCCTCGCGCTTCGACGCGGCGATTTCCGTGGCCGTTTTGCACCACTTGTCGTCTGAAACCCGGCGGAAACACGCGCTAAGAGAGATGCTTAGGGTGGTGAGGAAGGGGGGTAGGGTGCTGGTGACTGTGTGGGCGAGGGAGCAGGAGAATCCGGGGTTGCTTGACAAGTGGACGCCGCTGATTGGCCGGATGGCGGATAAGTGGGTGGGGGATGTGGAGGCAGCTGGAGGGGAGGAGAAGGGAGGGGAGAGGGAAGGGAGGGCGGGAGGAGGACTGGGGGGGATCGAGGAGGAAAGAGAGACCAGTAACGAGGAGAATGCGTGTCCAAGGAGGGGCTCAGCTGGAAAAGAGGTTCCAGGAGAAAAGGGAGCAACAGCAGGGGAAGGGATGAGTGAGGAGAGTGCAGCTGGGGGCAGTGGGGAAAAGAACCCAAACCCAGAACTTGGAAGGGGAGGGTCGGGGGAAGAAAGGACAGGAGAGTCTGAGCAAGGGAAAGTGACAGGAGAGGAAGCTTCCCAGGAGTTTCTGGTCCCGTGGCACCTGCCATGTCATCGAGTGGAGATAGGCTCGGCAGCAGCTGCACAGCATGTAGCCTCGGGATTTGCTCGGCGCGATGAAGCGAAGGGGTCGGTGGTGTACAACCGATATTATTATGTTTTCACTCAAGGAGAGCTGGAGAGGTGCGTATCATGCAATTGTGTGCTTGCTGTTGTTCGTTTGTTTGTTCTTACTGTTATACTGAAGTTTTTTTTGTGGTTCTGCTCATGTTTTTCTGGTGTTCTGTGCTGCAGGCTCATCACAGAGATTGGTGGTGCATCAATTGTTGAGAGCTTTTACGACAAATCCAATTGGTGTGTGATAATGGAGAAGCTCTAGAAGGGCCTGCAACCTTCATGCTGCCGTAAGTTAGTGTTTTAATATGCATACATGGACTGCTGCAACAGAAGTTACGGTACTCTGCTTTCATTCTGCTGGACAAATTGTAGATGTCCTGGTGTCTCTTGTAAAAACATCCTGTTCAAATGGCTGGTGGTTGCTGCTAAGGTCACTGTCAGCTCTCAACCTAGTATTAGTAATTATGTTCACTCACTTTTACTGAGCTGGGTGGAACTTTTGTAGTCAGGTTAACCATATCATCGGTTTGAGGGGATGCAGTGAGGTATCGTCGGTTGAGTTCAATGTGCCAGGTTCTCAGCTTCTTTGTGGCCTACCTTCCTTCCCATCTGATGGGTCAGTGATAGCTGAATCTTGTGGTCAGCTGTGTTTGGGCAATTCTATTCTGACCAATGAACACCCTGACCCATTCTATCTGACCAATCCCCATCCCTAAACACAGACCCTGCGCTGGCGCCCCTTGGGCACAATAAAGCGGTTATAACCAATCAGGGAAGCGTCAAGATCTATCCAGTTGCTCCCCCTGATCGCCGTTATTGGGATTGGTTGGTGGGAGAAGCAGAGCAACTTGAGCTAGCTTTGTTTGAGATTTCAGCACAGATGAAGATACACCCTAATGCTCACTCAACCGCCTACTCTGAACAAGCGCACTGCCACTCCATACGCCCAGTGGTCGACATTCACAGCCAACGGCCCGCGCGTTACTAGCCCACGACAAAACTAAGATATTCTTGACCTCGAATAAGTTATTCGAGTTTCCCAGACAAGACACGCTAGGCTACCCAAATACAGTCCCATTCTCCCCATGGGGAGCGCGTGCTCGAGAGAGGAGCACAGGGAAAGATGGGAAAGGGGACTGAAATAGACATCAGGTGTAACAACGCACGTGCGATTTTCTCTAGGCTTATGGTCGCAGATGTTCGTCGCCCAGTTTTTGTCCCTCGAGGTCAGCGAATCAGCAACACTGGGAAAACCCGTTCCCCGCGAATCGCCCACGTTGGCTTCGTTTCACATTCTTCCTTGCGTCGCTGGCGGCGATCGTCGTGTGCGACAGGTTTAGGTAGCCACCTCAGCAAAACAGCGCAGCACAGTAAGCCACAAATCAGTGCGACGCGGTCACCTGACAACTGCGTCGCGGAGAACGACACGCAAAAAGTGCCACACGCTGATGCGATCTCAAGGAGACCCGCCTTCCCACTTCCCCCCATCTCCCCCCTCTCCCTGCATCACATCCACTAGTGAGCAGACTCTGCCAGCAAGACGGGGAAGCGCGCAACTTTGATCTCCGCCAAACAGCTGAACTCCCACTCTGAGAAGGGGCGCGAGCAGGACGCGCAACTTCCAGCGCCACACGCGCGCAGTCCGCGGCCGTGCGTTGGAACAGGGAGCTGCGCCGCAGGGGATTCGGTTGGTGCAGCTCTCCGTTGGATTGAGCTCGACGGGAGTTCTCCCCCGTATCTTACGCGTTTCGCCAGGCCCTTTCCAGTCGCAACTGGTCCGCCTTGGCTCCGTTGGCTTGTCTGTCTCGCCTGCTCCTCATAGCGGCTCTCCCTTTGCTTCGCGTGATCCTTCTTTCTGACCATCTTTCCGTTTGGGGGCCCAAAGTCTTTCTAGAGATTTCAAGCCCACCTTGATTGTTGACTCGGTTTTGTCACGCCTGGGGCTGGCGAGACATTATTGTCGATAGGTTAGAAGTGGACTCTCTCTCAAGTTATCTGCTGTTTCTGGTTCTACCTACGTAGCTGACTTCGGTAGTCTAACTTATTCCGAGAGCTAACTTGGCACGTTTTAAATCATGGATCAACTAGCAGTTGTATTGGATTCTGCGTCTAGGCGTAAGTTACTACCCAGGGATCCATCCCCTACGAGAGTTTTAGTAAATCGCGAACTCTCTGACAGGCTTTCTCGAATCCACCTGTCACCATCATGGCCGTTGGTATGGAAGGCGCAGATGACGGATTCCTTATCCACGTGGCAAACCTGGGAGTTGCCAGCTCAGCCAGATAGTTTCTTATCTTTTCAGGCTGGGATAGGCGATTTAAGGCTAACAGCGTCTGACGGCGGTTGGGCTCCCTTCCTGCTCGCTCTCTCCGCGGTCCAACCGGGGTCGAGATCATTCTGCGAAGCTGCCGCGAAACAGCTTCATAGCTTCCTATTATGGGACGACTGGTTGAAACGGCATGGCTCGGAAGATGAATTTTCTCAGTTGACAGTGTTTATCGGGGAGGTCGCTACTGCGGGGAAGGGGTGCATGGGAGGATGCAGAACAGAGAGAAGACATTTAAGCTCGTTCCCTCGTCGGCTTGACAGCAAGTATCCGTTGAAGTTGGAAGCATTTGTGGGATCGCTGTCAGTTCTGCAATCCAGCCGGGGTTCCGATAGTCTAGACCGACCAAACGGGGACTCTGCGTCCTGGCTGAAGCGATACCTGAGCTGCTGGTCAGCGTACAGCACGGTAAGCACCATTTCATTCAGCACCCTTCACCTGAAAACGAAGTACTTCAAAGTGAACATTCACTCATCCAGTCGATATCTTTGTCAATGTCCGAAGTCCTAATGTTTCGTGATGCTTGGTGCTTTTTTTCAGGCTGGGTTGAAGTCTCACGCCGCGCTACGGCAATCCCTAGAAGCGGGACAAATACCCACTCTCCACGAATACCTCCTATACCGAGCGACAACAAACGTCGCCTGGCCGACAATGCTCCTCGCGGCGACTCAGCACCACCTCCCCCCTCTCTCCGATTCCTCCTTCCAAGCCCTCCTCCCTCTCATCTTCACCGCAGCCGCTCTCACAGCTCTCTCCGCTGATTCCCTCCTCGTGACTCGTGGCAAACTCGCGACGTCAGCTTCCTTATCCGCTGCGCAGCTGTTCGACGGGGAGACGAATCTTCTCCTCCAGAACTCCCTAGCCGTCGCTTTCTCTGCTGTCGCCAGGCGGATCGAACTGGAGGCGGAGGATCTGCCCGAAGGTGACGAACGCGCGTCGTTGCTGGGGTTTGTGCGCGTCGCTAAGAGCGCCGTTCACGGCGTCATGGCGTGGTACGGCTGCGCATGGCGATTCCGAGCGCAGCCGGCTGCGAAAACGGCGACGGCTGAAGCTAACGCTGGTTCGGATGATGAAGGGGATAAGATTACCGTGGAGGGATGCGGCGTGGAGTTAATTAACGACGTGCCTCAATGGCTTATGGATGAGATCGAGACTGCTGCTGGCGACTTCTCTGCGTTGCATTAATGGGGGAGTGTGGGGGAGGGCCTTGTTTGACAGCTGAGGTTGGAAGTTGAAATGGGAGGATGGGGAGGGAGGCGCGCCAGTGTCAGTGCTGAAACGCCGGTTCTTTGGTCCTGATGTCGAACTGGAGGCGCTGCTGATGTCCATGATGCTTCTTGTGCATCAGGTGCTTCTGTTGACTTTGATGGTGAAGATCTTCTGATGGTTTCCAGCTGCAACAGTACCTTTCGGCCAGTGATTTGCACTGCAATCTGCTAACTGCTGTTGTCCTGCCTGCCACCTCTTGTATCTACACCCCCTCTCAGCTGCGTATCTAGGTCCTTGCACTATAAGTGTGTGTGTTGGCGGTCATACTTAACCATAGGCTAGATGAGAGCAAAGTTAAGAAGGGTTTTGGGTCCATTACTGGGTGGTATCTGGTCTTCTGGTGATTGGTGCCTGCATGCGAATGGCATGAGAGGCACATTCCTCCTGTTCATGTGATAGGTCCTGTACCCTGTACAGAGCTACAGAACAGTGAGCCTCTTCCCCTGTTGTAGGGGCTGGAGGCCAGTTGCTGGTGGGAGCTATAGCTGCAGCCTCAGCAGCCTGATGTTGCATCAACTCCTGTTTAGCATAAGCTATACCTGAGCCAGATGTTATTACCTACCATTCCATGGATGTAGATGTTCAATCAGTTGGTTCAGGCCAGGTGGTTGATGTGTGGCTTCAAATACTGCTGTACGTTTTTGTCATTCCACATATTACAGCATCAACTACCAAGGAACAGCAAAATCGAGGTAGTGTATTCCAAAACGTAAAACCAGACTCTCTGTGTCGGTTGGATACGGTAGATATGTCTCCTCGTGTGCTACAGCACATGATGATCTGACACCTTTCCCCATCAGCGCCACGGCTCGTTGATCAGACGCGTATGGGTCGAAATCGACCCAATCGGTCTGGAGGAATCTAGATTTACGGAAGCAGACGTTGAAAGGTTCTGTCAGAAATCCTTGAATTCCCGTTGCTCGCTTCTTGACGCCGCCGTGCGGTCTCTACTAGTCCGTAAAGCGGTGATTCTCGTTTCAACTGCAACGTCGCCGTACGTGCTGTAGACCAATGAAACTGGGGATGCGGGGAATCGTTTCCAGTTGGAATGACCGAGCGTTCAGGGCTTTAACGAACGTGCTGTACCCTCCGAATTTCCTCCTTATGGGCGTTTTCTGGACCTGGTATGTCCTTCTGTCGCACATCCGCGTGGCGTTTCTGCGAAATAGCAAAGTTAGTTCGCGAAATCCGTTACCAGGAAGTAGATCGGAGACGTCGCGAGCAGGGGAGGATAAGGAGCGTGGCGATGACGGAAGAGAGTATGGACAAGTAGAAGGAAAGAGAGGAGACAGAGGAGAGCGTGGAGAAGGAGAAGGAGGAGGAGGAGGAGAAAGGGGAGAAGGAGAAGGAAGAGGAGGAAGTGTGAACGGAGGAGCGCTGAGAGCAACGTGTATTGTGACTGGGGTATGTCATTTGAATCGCCTCACGCACTGAGAGAAACATGCCTTGTGACTGGGTGGGCATGCGATATGATGGGATATGATGGGATGGGATGGGATGGGATGGGATGGGATGGGATGGGATGGGATGGGATGGGATGGGATGGGATGGGATGGGATGTGATGGGTGTGGTCTTATCGAGAGATGAAGTGATGTGATGATATGTGATGTGATTTAATGGGATGTGAGGTGAGGTGTGTTGTGTTGTGATGTGATGTGATGAGATGTGGTGTGATGTTATGTAGTGTGATGTGATGTGATGTGTGGTGTGGTGTGGTGTGGTGTGGTGTGGTGTGGTGTGGTGTGGTGTGGTGTGGTGTGGTGTGGTGTGGTGTGGTGTGATGTGATGTGATAGTCTGGTCCGTTGAAGATGAAGTGTGTGATTCTTTTCCTGGTATTATTGCACCTTGTGTTACAGTTGTCAATCCCTGATACAAAGTTCTTGTCATTTGGAAATTGCACAACAATTCAGCTTCGCTCAGTCGTTATTGGATTGGCTGTTGGGTTTCTTGAATTTCTTTTTCTTGGGTGATTGGTTTGCCAGGCCACGTCCGGGCTGGGGAAGGAGGCAGCAACAGCGCTGGCATCTCTAGGCACCTTCCATGTGGTGATTGGTAAGAAGTGTATGACGGGTGAGGTGGGTGCATGATTGATTGCTGATGATCAGGCATGTGGTGATGGGTGAGATGCAGATGATGGGTGAGACGTGGATGATCAATTGTAGATGATCAGGCACGCAGTGATGGGTGAGATGCAGATGCTGAGGCGGTAGATGTTTAGGCATGTGGTGATGGGTGAGATGCTAGGATCAAATGCATCTGTTTCGGCAGACGCTTTTTTTATATCTGGGCATCCAAGTCCGTTTCTAGTCACTGCCACCCATTTTTCCAGAGCAATGAAAATTCACCAAAATATTTCCAAGGTACTTGAAAGTCACTTTCCTATCACCACTGCTGCTTCTCCCACCCCCTGTGCTGCTGCAGGATGCCGCTCATTCAAGCGTGGTTACCAGGTGAGATTGGTTTAAAAAGGTGGCTACAATAAGTGTTTTTTTTCCTTTTAAAAAGATTCTACAACAGAACCTGCATGAGTCTTTATAATAGTGCTGCCCTCAGTCTCTTAGCACAGTCAATGATTATCGTGTCAGAACTTAGACGCTTTCCCATAAAGCATCCTTAGCTATCATGGGAACTCGTGCCATGCCAACTCCTAACCCCAAGCTTCAAGGGAAGCTCAATACCCTGGAAACTGTCAACCTCAAATCCGAAACCCATGTCCTCCGTACAATGCCGCCCGGCATCCTGCCACGTGTTCCTCCCCTGAAGGCAGCTGCCGACATCCTTCGTCAGCATCCCCACGCGTCGATAGAGGTCCTGCCGCTCGACCTCTCCCGGCCGGCATCCGTTGTCCGTTTCTGCCACCTCGTGCGCTCGAAACTAGGGCTGGATGCGGTTATGACTGGTGCTGAGGAGGGGATTGAAAAGGTGGGAGAAAAGGCGAGGAGTATCTTTGGACTTCTCGAAAGCAATTCCAGTTTGGAGGAGGCACAGCAGGGATCAAGACGAGGAGGGGAAGAGGAAGAGAATGAGGGGAGGGCGAAAGAGGGTAGCCAGGAGGGTGGAGAGGAGCGGGGGCTGGAGGAAGAGGCAGTAGATGAGGAAGAGGAGGAGGAGGAGGAGGAGGAGGAGGAGGGGGAGGAGGGGGAGGAAAAGGGGTTTCTCTGGGGCCAGCAGCAGCAGCAATGGCAGACGCGTATGGCTCAAGTTCCCTCTCCCATGCCTCCCTTATGCCTCCTTGTCAACAATGCCGGCATCCTTTCTCCCACCGCCTCCCACCGCTCTGCACCTGCCTCTCTACCAGTTGACCGGTACGATCCCAGCTCCCCTTCCCCCTTGCTGAGTGGTGACTGCAGCACCTTAACCACCAACCATGCCCCCCCTGCTCTGCTCACGCTCCACCTGCTAGCTGCCACTCATTATGAATCCCCTGTGTCGTCCCCTCATTGGTCATTTCAGCATGCTAGCTACCAAGCACCTCGGCCCTGTTCTATTCACGCCCCCCCTGCTGCCCCTCTCGTATGCCAGCCCGTCGTTCGAATCGCCCCTCGTTTCCCTTGCTCATCGGTGTCTGCAGCATCCTACCCACCAACTATCTCGGCCCGGTCCTGCTCACGCTCTGCCTGCTGCCCCTCACCATTCCGTCCTGTCCTTCCATTCCCCATTGCGAATCCCCTGTGTCCTCCCTCCGTCCTCGGTCATCGCAGCATGCTAGCCACCAACTCTGCCTGCTGCCACTCAAACCTTCCTTTCCGTCTACTCCTTGTTGTGATTCCCTCCTGTTTTTCATCCGTCCTCTGTCATCGCAGCATGCTAGCAACCAACTACCTCGGGACTGTCCTGCTCACGCTCCGCCTGCGCCCCTCACATACAGTCACCTCTCTGCCCCTCTCGTCTCCCCCACTTATTGGTCATCGCAGCATGCTAGCAACCAACTATCTCGGGCCTGTGCTACTCACACTCCGCCTGCTGCCGCTCATGGGAAGACGAGCGCCCTCCTTACAAGCACATGCACATGGAGGGAACAACACAGGCGCATGTGGGGAGGCGGAGGAGAGACTGAAATGCCGCGTAGTCAATGTGACTTCCTTCACGCATAGATCAGGTGAACCATCCACATGATGTTTTTTTTTGTGTGTGTGTGTGTTTTTTTTTTTTTTTTGGGGGGGGGGGGGGGGGGTGGGGGGAGTGGCGGGGGGGAAGGGGGTCGCATGCAACGTTGCCTAGAAACGTTGTGAGGGAATCGATGGCGAGAATGAGTAGTAGCTGCATTGTCAATGTGACATCCCTCACTCATCAATCAGGCATGTTGACAAACGCATTCATGGAGTCGACCCCGGCAGTAATTTACCATCGAATCAACTATGTGAAGCATTGCCAGCAGGCGACCCCCAAAACACCCCGGCGCTGCTGGCAATGCTTCACACAGGTGATTGTAGAACAGTACGTCTTCGGACATAATTCCAGTCAGCAGCGCTGCTTAGGAGTATGTTTAAGCAAGTAGGAAAAGCCTACTTCACACAGGTGATTGTAGAATAGTACCCCCTTCTGTGCCCTCTCTCACTACATGTGTTGCACTGTCATATGATTAAGGCTCTCTGCCACCCTTCCTCTTCATTCACCCCCTCCTCCCCGCTTTCCTCCAATACCAGTGCGCCAGCTGTACGTGTCTGACGTGGCATCTCTAGCAGCAGGCGCTGCTGCTCCTGCCGGCTCACCCCCGCCTCTGTTCTACCCTGCAGCCAGCATATACCAGGCCTCCAAACGTACGTGTCAACACGAGTGCCGTATGCATGGTGCATGGTTGCTTGCTCGTATGCTCCTGCCAACTCACCCCCCGCCTCTATTCTACCCTGCAGCCAGCATATATCAGGCCTCCAAACGTATGTCTGGGCGTGATGTGTTGTGTGCATGGTGCATGCTTACATCCATGATTGCTCGTATGCTTCTGCCAGCTCACCCGCGCCTCTGTTCTACCCTGCAGCCAGCATATACCAGGCCTCAAAACGTATGTATATAGATTTGTTTTTTTACACACATAGTACATGTACGTGTATGCTGTGCATGGTGCATGCTCGCACGCTCCTGCCAGCTCACCCCCGCCTCTGTTCTATCCTGCAGCCAGCATATACCAGGCCTCCAATTGTATGTATGGTCTTATTATAAGGTCGCAACCCCAACCTAACGTGTGTATGGACGTACGTGTGCGTTGCATGTGTATGATTGCATGTTCTCTCTAGCTCACCCCCACCTCTGTTCTACCCTGCAGCCAGCATATACCAGGCCTCCAATTGTATGTATATAGTTTTTTGTTCGGTGCACATTCTGTAAGTCCCCAATGCCGGTACCTGCACTAGCTGTGGATACTGCATGCTTGCTTGCTTGCATTCTCCTCCCACCTCACCCTCGAGGTGACTTTGAGTCGACTCGACTTTTGAGTCGACTGAAAACGCTACCTGCACTAGCTGTGTGGATACTGTATGCTGCGTGCTTGCATGCTCCGCCAACACGCTCCAACGGCTAACTCCGTTTCTTGCTACGCTCTGCTGCCTTCCTGCCTGCAGTGTGCCTGCTCCTCTTCTCACTGCACCTTCAGCGTCTCCTCCAATCAGAGCCCTCCACGTGTCACATCTCTGTCGTGTAAGCCTCTCTCTCCCTACACTTTCTCGTGTGCCTGCCTCCACTGCCCTTACCGTGTCTTAGACTTTGCAACGGTATGTTCTGTGCTCATGTGTCACATCTCTGTCGTGTAAGCCTCTCTCTCCCTATACTTTCTCGTGTGCCTACCTCCACCAAATTTACCTCAACTGCTTTCTATTTATTCCCATGTGTATAATTCTCTTCTGCCCTCAACTGCCCGGCTTTCCTTATCGCCACCCCTTGCAGACCCATAGACCCCGGCATGGTGTGCACTGCTGTGCTGAGCGTTTGAGAATTCTCAAAAACTCCCTGCTTCCCTCCTTCCTCGCAGCCACAGTCAACACAGCCCATGCTCTCTCTTTGCTCTTCTGACCCCTATCCTTTCTCCCCCTCTTGCCACCCCAAGCAGACCCGTAGTCCCCGGCATGGTGCGAACTGCCGTGCTGTGTTAGCTGCCCTCGTTCCTCTCTGCCACAGTGAAATACAATCAACACAGCCTTTCTTTACTTCTTTCCTCCCCCCCCCCTCCAGCCACATAGACCCTGGCAGAGAGAGCTGCCCATGCCCCGTCATGCTGAGGGAGCTGCCCTCCTTCCTCGCAGCCACAGTCAACGCAGTCAACTCAGTCAATGCTCTATCCTCTATTTCTGTCCCTCCCTTCAGCCCCATCGACCCTGGCATGGTGCGTACCGCTGTACTGAGGGAGCTGCCCTCGTTTCTCTCAGCCACAGTCAATGTAGTCAACTCCATCTTCCCCCCCCTCCCCACTTCACGTGACCCCCCGCTGCCTCCCATTCCAGACCAATAGACCCCGGCATGGTGCGCACTGCAGTGTTGAGGGAGCTACTCTCATTCCTCGCAGCCACAGTCAACACCATCTCTTCCTTGGCCTTTACTTAAACCCTCCTGTGCTGTCCCCCCCGCTTCCTCCCATTCCAGCCCCATAGACCCTGGCATGGTGCGAACTGCAGTACTAAGGGAGCTACCTTCCCTCCTCGCAGCCACAGTCAACAACATCTTCTCCCTCCTCGGCCTCTGTTTGCTCCCTCGCGCCCTCGTCCCTCTCTTCCTCCGCGCCTCTACTGCTCCCCAGGTATGCTCTTTGACAATCTGACCCAACTTCTACCCCATAAACACCCCATTGTTACAGGTTGTTTTTGACAACAGCCCGCTTTGACTCTCTGACTCAACCTATACCCCCTTGCTGCTCTTCCCTATGAGTGAGGACCCGTGGGACCTAACGTTCGTGTATCCTTTGACATTCTGACTCAACCTATACCCCATACACACGCCAATGCTCTCAGCTGGCTTTTACTAGCCTCTCCCTCCCTCACGCCCTCGCCCCTTTTTTTTCCTCTGCACCTCCACTGTACCCCAGGCCTATTTCTCTCCTTCCCCTTGCTTCGCCCCTCCTCGTCTTCCCCCCCTCTCCCCCCACTTCGCCCTTCCCCTCGCTGCTGACCCCCCCACCCCCCACTTCCCCCTCTGTCCCTTTCTTACCTCCACTTACCCCCAACTTCTCCCAATTTCCTGTTTGACCAATGATGGTTTTCTTGTGTATGAACCCTTGGCCTTAAATTCCCTTCCCTTTCCTTCCCTTCCGTTCCCTTTCCTTTCCACTTCTTTCCTTATCCATCTCTTTCCTTCCCTTCTCATACTCATTCAGGAGCAAGTAGCAGGGCAGTACCTGTTTGGAACCCACGCAATCCCGCTCTCGCCCTCTCCACTTGCTCGTGAGACATCTCTCTCCAACATTCTCTGGCGAACCACTCAAGACCTTCTCAACCAATGGGTGTCTAGATGAAATTAAGGAGTTTCTTCAGATGCTAGACATCAGTTTTTTCTATCAAATCATTGTTTGCCCCAGATGTTCGTTTCTGGGTTAGGGAATACTGTTATATTGAATGTATAAGAGATGATAACAGCAATATGGCATTTGCCAACAGGGTTCACTGTCTCGTTTATTGTTTTTGCCTAGGAACTGTCGAGGCTGAATTCGTGTTGGCCTCGGTACTGGTAGCTCTCTCTTCGCCTCCCCCGGCCTTTTGAGTCTCCGCGTTCTCCGCTCGCTCCCTGCCGCTAACAGCACCGGGTATAGTCTGTCAGAAGTTTCAGCATCAATAAGCATGGATGGTCGGGGGAGGGAGCGAGATTAATTAATCTCCTGAAGAGCATGACGGGATCGGAAAGGTACCCAAACGCAAGAACAAGTACTGAAACACTCATCACAGCTGTAGCTCCTTGTATCCCTGATTAGGGTCGCAGGGGTCATTGTGATAGCTACTGATTCTCCAGATTGGCGGAATCAAAACAAAATGCTGGATTATAAAGTGGAGACCTAACGGCATCTCGGTCGTTACCAACTCCTGACTGTTGAGATTGCACTGACCTTGCAGAGGGTCGTCGAGTTCTGCGGGGACGCAAAATTCTACCGAAGCGGAAATCGCAAAAGACAGGGCGGAGCCCTGCACTGCAGCAGAAGTACTTCGCAGAAGCGGAAATGAACTCCTGCTGCAGAGGAACGCGTGTCTGCAGAAATTGAGTCTGCAGAAGAGGGCGAATCTGCAGAGCAGATCGTGGTGCTGCAGAGGAGGGCGCATCTGCAGAGATTTCGGAGCTGCAGAAGAAGGCGCATCTGCAGAAGCGAAATTCTGCAGAGGACCAAGTCTTCTACCGGCGAACCCCTCCGATGCGAAAGTGCGATCGTTTCGGAACTTTTGCGTGGGAATTTCGGAACATTGCGGACATTGAGAAATTGACCCCCGGAAACAGTGCGTGAACTTGGGGTGTTCAATCTGGGGGCGAATTGAACCACCTGAGCAAACTGAACCTGGCGCACGTTTTCGTAACTACGAAAACGTGCGTTACAGAAGTTGTTTAAAACAACCTTAACAGTTAAAATAACTACTTTTAGGTAGGTAAAAATTACCAACTAAGCATGTGTTGTAATTTTCACCTGCCGATGCTGACTTGGCAAAGCGCAGCTAAGTAGTAGTTATCTAAACGTTCTAGGTGAGAACGTTCTCTTGGTAGGTTCAGTGGTTGGGTAGTTCTTTACCCCTTGTATTCTATTTTTATTCTATTCTAGTGAATTCTCTTTGTGTGCCAAAGCTATGCCTTTCTCAACACTTAGCCAAATTTCTCCTTAGTGAACAACAAAGTTTGCGTGGCTGCAAAGAAGCATTTCGTAGAGCTCCAACTCCCGTTAAGAGCAGAAATCTCTGCACTGACGGTCAACGCAGTCATCAACAAATCATGACGGTGAACGTGGTGGTTACCAGGTCTGGCTTGTAGATGTTGTGGACGACAGATGCTCCGGCGAGCAGCAACGCGATGGCGACGGCGTACGATCGGATCATGACGGTTAGCGAGGCGACCAGCAATTGGGAAATGGAATGGCTACCCCGTTATCAAGAGCGCCTGGACAAGACCCTCTTGCTCATGAGTTTGTTTTGCTTCAAAAGCATCCATGCGTCGTCATGTGCACATGTTTCGCTAATTAGCCGCAAGCTATTCCGTGCGCTACGGTGGATGGCTTGACGAGCATCACGGAGGATGTGGGTTGAGGGAAAAACACTACCTTCGCCTTCAAATATACCTGCACTTCATTCCCATGTACGAAGCAAGCCAAATGTAGTCGAATAAAACCTACCGGTACATAGAAACTACTTTCTTACAAGTTGACTCAACACTCAATCAAAACTGCATGAAAATACTCCCAGACCACACACCGCCTTCAGTTTGTTTCAAAGTTGAGATATGCTCATAATTTGCCACCATCCTTCAATGCGTGGCACAGACCAATCCTCACATGAAGGTCAGCAATCTCCCCGCACGTCACCCATTATATACAAATCTACATAAGCCCTATTCCTCTCCTCAGCCCATCTGCTGCAGCCACCACCGCCTGTTGTTGGGTCCTTTGGCAGTGCATAACCACCAACCATTTGATTCACCACCTGAACAGATTAAATCCAATCAAAACTGCATGAAAATACTCCCGGACCACACACCGCCTTCAGTTTGTTTCAAAGTTGAGATATGCTCATAATTTGCCACCATCCTTCAATGCGTGGCACAGACCAATCCTCACATGAAGGTCAGCAATCTCCCCGCACGTCACCCATTATATACAAATCTACATAAGCCCTATTCCTCTCCTCAGCCCATCTGCTGCAGCCACCACCGCCTGTTGTTGGGTCCTTTGGCAGTGCATAACCACCAACCATTTGATTCACCACCTATACAGTCACCCTGGTTACTATACACAGAAGACACGCCCCTTAGTCAGGAGGGCAGAGAGAGATACTCAGGGAGGGAAAGAAGACGCAGCAGGAGCAGGGAGTTACTGGAAGAAAAGGCACATCCCCATCACACAGGCAACCTGGTTGCCACATGCAAGCATGTCCGCATGCGCCCCTTAGTCAGGGAGGGAGAGGGTGGGAGCAGCAGGAACAGCCAGTTTGAGGAAGGGAAGACACAGCCCCATTTCACACACGTCAGGGCGAGGCAGTCGGATCACCACCGGCTCCCCATCCCCCCCCACATCCACCAGTGCCGTGTCGCCAGGTGTAAACGCACCCTCCCTGACCCCGCTGACATCACTGAGGGGTGCGCTGGCGTCAGCAGCAGGGGTGGGGGCATTTGTTGCAGCGTGAGCTGCGATCACAGGAAGCAGCACGGAGGGAACGGACGGCAGGGATTCCGACAGGTCATTGCTGCTGACGTGGCGGTTGCGGCCGCTGCTGCTGCTCCCCTCAGCTGCCAGCACAGCCTCGCTTATCGGATCGTCGACCAATCGTGTGACGGCACGTCGCAGCGGGCGCGCCCCGTACGCCCTGTCATACCCCTCCTCGCAGATTCGCTCCATGAGCGCCTCGGAAACTTCCAGGTTGATTCCTTTCAGGGCCAAACGATCAGCTGACTCCTTGACCATCATGGTGGCAATTACTCGGATCTGGATAGAATTGGTGGACAGGAGGAGGGTCAAGAAAAAAGATGGGGACAGGGAAGAGGGGTGTTTGATCTACGAGTGATTCCGACTCTTGCAAGTTGATTCCCTTCTTGGCCAAACGGTCAGCTGATTCCTTCACCATCATGTTGGCAATCACTCGGATCTGGAGGGAAGGGGGACGAGAAGGGGGGAGAAAAGGGGGAAGAGAAGGGGGTGAATGGTTAGAGAGCTTCTAAAACGTCCAGGTTGATAATCTCTTTGCAAGCACGTCAACCGACTGACTCCTTGATCATCATGTTGGCAATCACTCGCATTTGGAGGGAAGTGTGGGACAAGAGAAGGTACAAGAAAAGAAAGGAGGCAGGGATGAGGGGTTTGTTGCATGAGCGCTTCTGGAAATTTCAAGTTGATTCCTCTCTTGGCAAACCCAACTGCCGACTCTTTGACATCATGTTGGCAATGACTCAAATCTGGAGGGACGGGGGGGAGGAAGGGGTTATTGTTTTGTGTATTTCTGAAAGGTCCAGGTTAAGTCCTCATGTCGGCAATCGGTTTAGGAAAGTGAAGCTTTCAAACATCGAGTGAAGTGATGGCACTCGCAAAAGGTCAGCTTGCAAATGCACGAAAGAAACTCTTATTTGCGGTCGGGATTTTCATGAGCCTTCTCGACCACACGAAGGAGCTTGTTGCTGTGCCTTCGCAACCTAACCTTTCGCGAGTGCCAATAGTTTACTCGCATGCCTGAGAACTTCACTTCCCTGAGCTATTTGAAGCGAGTCTATCAGCCGACTCCTTTCTTCACCACCATGTTGGCAATTGCTCAGATTTGGGAGGAATGGGTGAGAGAAATAGGTGAATGGCTCAAGTGCCTCTGAAACGTTCAGGCTGATTCCTCATGTCGGAAATTACTCGGATCTGGGAATTGGGGGACCAGAAAACATGTGGGGGGGATGACGGAATAAGCTTCTGTATTGGCCTGTTGTACCACTCCTCCCACAAATCCGCGCCGTGAGTGCTTTCGAGAGTTCCAGGTTGATTCCTCTCTTGGGCAAGCCAAACAAAAACTTCACATCATCAAGTTGCAATCACTCGGATCTAGTGAGTTGGGAACCGCCAAAGGAACCGCCATCCCTTTTGAGACGTCTCAATTTTTTTTTCCTTGTCAGGGCTGGGTACAGTACAGCCATCCTGTCAGCCTTATCAGCGCTGCTCCAATCGATCCACTTCATCAGCCCATCACCACTTCCTGATTCAGTTTCTCTTACAAATGACCGCCCCCTCCTCTCCGGCCTTTCTCACCTGTCTCTCTATACCCCCTCTCCACCAATGCAGTCATCACCAGATGACTTTCCCTCACAGCATCCTACTCACTTTGTTCACACACTAACACATCTGCCACTAAATTCACACACTCTCACCTGCTCCCTCTCCAACGCTCGGAACACCACCATCGCATATGGCCCCGCATCTGCCTTCTGAGACAAACACACATATACATGCGCACGCACATGCTCTTTCCTTCCCTCGCTTCTCACCTGCTGCCTCTCCAGCGCTCGGAAAACCACCACCTTATCGATGCGGTTCATCAGCTCCGCACCAGTCCTCTCCCTCCCTATTCACACGTGCTCACCTGCTCCCCTCTCCAACGCTCGGAACACCACCACCTCGTCGATGCGGTTCATCAGCTCCGGCCAAAACGCCCCTTCAGCTCCTCCATCACCACCTCCCTCATCGCGGCATATAGCCCCCCATGTGCCCCAATGCTCACCTGTTCCTTCTCGAGCACTCGGAACACCACCACCTCGTCGATGCGGTTCATCAGCTCCGGCCGGAAGTGCGCCTTCAACTCCTCCATCACCACCTCTTTCATCGCCGCATATCGCCCCGCATCCGCCCGCGCCTCTCTCCCGCCACCTCTCCCCCCATTCCCATCAGCAGCCGCATAATCCCCTGGCGAGAGGAAGCCGATGCGGTGGGTGCCGCCTCTCGCAATGGCCTGAGAGCCCACATTGGAGGTCAGGACTATCAGGGCGTTCTTGAACGACACGTGGCGGCCCTGGATTTGTCAATGGCGAGGGGGAGGAGACGGGAATGGAAGGGCAGAAACAGAGGAGGCGAGCATTGCTGGGAGTGCTTGTATGGAGGGAGGGAGTCAGTTTTGAGGCGCCTCAAAACTGGGAGTCAGGGCATTAGAGGAAGCCGCTGTGATTAGAGCCCCCGCTTTGCGATGTTCTGTGAGCCCACGTTGGACGTCAGGACTATCAGGGCGTCTTTGAAGGACACGTGGCAGCCCTGGATTGGTATGGGGAGAGGAGAGGAGGGTTGAGCGGGAAAATGAGGGGTGGTGTAAGAGGGGGGAGTTACGAGGGGGATCCGGGAGAGTGAGTCAGGGGAGCATCAGAGGAAGCTGACGCAGTGGGTACCAGAAAATGCCCTCTTCAAATAGAGACACCAGGAAAGTATAAAATTCTCCCATTTTGCAAGATTGTGGGACCCTCACACGAAGCTGTTGCCCATACCAGACCCTTACAACATTCTACCCACCCACCTGCAAGTCAGTCAGCCGCCTGTGTAGAAACACACACCTGTGAGTCAGTAAGTCGGCCATCTTCAAATACTGCGAGAGGAGATTAAAGACGTCGGAGTGCACCTTGATAAGTCAAGACTCCACACACACACCCACCCACCTGCGAGTCAGTGAGCCGCCCGTCTTCAAAAATCTGCAGCAGGAGATTAAAGACGTCCGGGTGCGCCTTCTCGATCTCGTCCAGGAGAATACAACACCGCACACACACCCCACACCCACCCACCAGCCACCACGCATACACACACACCCACCTGCGAATCGGTCAGTCGTCCGTCTTCGAATATCTGCAGCAGGAGATTAAAGACGTCCGGGTGCGCCTTCTCAATCTCGTCCAGGAGAATAAGACAAAACGGCCGCCTGCGGACGGCCTCCGTGAGCTTGCCGCCCTCGCCGTACCCCACATAGCCGGGCGGCGCTCCAATCAGCTTGCTGACAGCGTGGCGCTCCATGTACTCGCTCATATCGAGACGAATCAAGGAATCCTCCTGGAGAAGTCATTTATGGCAGTGTGGGAAAATGCAGATAGGGGAAATAGACCTGAACTTCCAATCAGCTTGCTGACAGCGTGGCGCTCCATGTACTCAGACATGTCTAGACGGATCATGGAATCTTCCTGGAAGGCACAGGATGAGCGCAATGCGGGATGGAGACCTGTCTTTGTGGCATGGCAGGCAGAGACTGGCAGCAATGCGGAACGGCCGAGAGCAAGGGGGATTTGCACGCATTGCACCGTACCCCACCACTATTCACCATGTGTAGTGGAGAACAGGAGTGGTGGCGCTAGCGGTCACATCCTATTGGGTCCCGACAACAGCAGAGCCACCACTGGCCTCCTTCTCCCCTTCAGCCCCACCACGGCCCTCTGCACCGCCCTCTTAACCCCCTTCACCGCACCCCACTGCCACTCACCGATCCATAGTAGTGAGCTGCCAGTGCCTTGCACAATTCCGTCTTCCCCACCCCAGTCGGCCCCGAGAACAGCAGAGCCGCAACCGGCCTCCCCTCCCCCTTCAGCCCCACCCTCGCCCTCTGCACCGCGCGTGCTATCACCCTCACAGCTTGCCCCTGCCCCACCACGCGCGTCTCCAGCGCCTCTTCCAGCCCTGCCAGGTGCTGCTGGTCGGAGAGCGAGAGCTGCTGCAGGGGGATGCCCGTCCAGTGGGCGGCCACTGCTGCTATGTGCTCTGCTGTGATGTGCGTGGGGCTGGAACAGGGGAATAGTAGCACAAGGGGAAAGGCAGCGGAGGAAGGAGACAACAGAAGAGTCAGGGGGTGGTAGTGTCTCTCTCTAGTGCTTCTTCCAGCCCTGCGAGGTGCTGCTGGTCGGAGAGCGAGAGGTGCTGCAGGGGACTGCCGGTCCAGTGGGCGGCCACTGCTGCTATGTGCTCTGCTGTGATCTCCATGGGACTGTTGGTAGCAGCAAGCGGCAGAGGGTAGGAGGGAGAGGGAATAAGATGGATGGCAGGAAGAGGTTTGAGGGGACTGCCATTTAAATGGGAGGCGACTGCTGCTATGTGCTCTTTGCTGTGATCTCAATGGGGCTGGCAAAGCAGGGAAACAGCAGAAAGATGGAGGGGAATGGTATGGGTGCAAAGGGGTTCAGCAGCGGTGGAGTTGATTGTGCGAGTTAGGCGATGGTGTTGGCGTGGGTGTGAGAGTGTGTGGGGGTGAGACGATGGAAGCGTGGCAAGTTTCATCTGTCTTCCTTGTCACTTCCACTGATGCCTCTCGCAACGACCAGCAGCAGCAGCAGCGTCGCGGTGTTAGAGTGGGTGTGGTTGTTTGTGAGAGACACACGACAGTGTTGTCCTGGGTGCGAGTGTGTGTGAGAGTAGAGTAAGAGGATGAGAGTGGTAAATCTGGCGAATCTCACCGGTCGTCCTTGTCACTGCCAGTGATGCCACTCTTGGACCGACCAGCAGCAGCGGCGTCAGCAGCGGTGGTGGTGCTAACGCGAGTGTTGAGTGTGTGAGTTAGATAACGCTGTCAGTGTCCGTGTGAGAGTTATATAATGGGATAACAATCGCCTTACCTGTCGTCCTTGTCACTCCTGCCGGTGATGCCACTCCTGGACCGACCAGCAGCAGCGGCGGCGTCAGCAGCGGTGGTGGTGTCGGCAACGTGGCCGTGATTGTCTTGCGAGAGGAAGGAGGTGAGTGAGGTGAAGGGGTTCTGGCGCGCATGGGCCTGCAAGGGGGGAGAGAAATAGAGCAAGTGGGGGAAGAGAAAGGGAAATGAGAAACAGCAGCGGTGGTGGTGTCGGCGACGTGGGTGTGATTGTCGTGGGAGAGGAAGGAGGTGAGCGAGGTGAAGGGGTTCTGGCGCGCATGTGCCTGTGGAATGCAAGAGAAAATCAGAGAGTTGAGGGGAAGAGAGGGGGAGTGAGAAGCAGCAGCAGAAGGTGAGAGACGTTACAGGTGGTATAAGAGAATGCTCAAAGGCTACCGCAACAACAAGGGTTGTGAGCGGCATGGGTTTGCACGGGGAGAGAGAATAAACGTAGTTTTGAGTCGACTCAAAACAAGGGTTGTGAGCGGCATGGGTTTGCACGGGGAGAGAGAATCAGCGGGAACCCGAGAGGTGGTGGTGTGGAAGGAGGAAGGAGTTTCCGCTCCTGAGGTTGTTGTTGCTCTCTGAGTCGACTCAATTGACTTATCGAAGGGTTGTGCTGCAACACGTGGAAGGAGTTTCCTGCTCCCGAGGTGTTGTTGCTGGCGTGGGTGTGGCAGTCACGAGAGAGGAAGGAGGTGTAGCCTGCCCCATCAAACCCATCCTTCACCCCAACCGCACCGCATTCCACCCATTCTCACCGCTTCGTGTGCAGCCTGCGCCATGCGAATCTCCCGCCAGTACTCCTCCGCGCCCCTCTCCAGCACCCCACTCGCCCGCCTCCTCCTCCCCTTGCTACCCTCCACCCTGCTCCTACTGGCCGCCTCGTCTATCAAGTCAATTGCCTTGTCAGGCAGGCAGCGGTCGGGGATGAAGCGCGCAGAGAGGGTGACTGCTGCTGCCAGGGCGGAGTCGGAGAGAACACACTTGTGGTGAGCCTCATATAGGTGCCTCAGACCGTGTAGGATTTCTAAGGCAGCTTCCTGAAAGGGGGTAGGCGGGCAGAGAGGGAAGGTACAGAAGGCACAAGAGGTGGTACTGTGAGTCACAGTCTACTGGCCGCCTCGTGGTCAGGTCAATTGCCTTGTCCGGCAGGCAGCGGTCGGGGATGAAGCGGGCAGAGAGGGTGACTGCTGCTGCTAGAGCATCGTCCGTGAGAGTGCACTTGTGGTGGGCCTCGAACAGGTGCCTTAACCCGTGTAGGATTTCCAAGGCGGCTTCCTGAAAGGGGGGAAGCGGGCAGAGAGGGAAGGGAAGGAATGCACAAGGGGTGGTACTGTGAGTCGCCTGCTCTCCTCCCCTCACTGCCCTCCACCCTGCTCCTACTGGCCGCCGCATCGATTTGGTCAATTTCCTTGTCGGGCAGGCGGTGATCGGGGATGAAACGAGCAGAGAGGGTTACAGCGGCTGCCAGGGCGGAATCGGAGAGAACACACTTGTGGTGGGCCTTGTATAGGTGGCGCAGGTGGTATAAGATTGCCAGAGCGGCTTCGTGTGAGGAGTGAGGAGGGAGGGAGGGAGGGAAAGAAGGCACAGAGAGTGGAGGTACCGTGAGTCGCCACACAGGAGAGGGTTACAGCGGCTGCCAGGGCAGCATCAGTGAGAGCACACTTGTGGTGCGCCTCGTAAACGTGCCGCAGGCCGTGCAGTATGGCTAGGGCGGCTTCCTGAAGGTGGGTTGAGTTGGACAGAGGAGGGACGAGGGAATCAAAAGAACGTTACACCACATTGCATCGGCGTACACCGCATTACACCCCACAGCAATTGGGGATGATCTGCGGGGAGAGGGTCGCTCCAGCCAGGAGAGCACCGTCTGTGAGATGAGAGCACACTTGTGGTGGGCCTCATATAGTGAGATGGCTAAGGGAGCTTGTGGTGGGCCTCATATAGTGAGATGGCTAAGGGAGCTTCCTGGGAGGGGCGTGGAACATGCTGAGAGTGTAGAGTTCAGCCCATCCCAGAGCCTCGTCGTCCCTTCTCATATACCGAATCATCCCATCCCCGTTATAAGATGCAACCCCCCTCTCAAATCTGATGGTTCGTCTAAAGTCACCGGCTGACACCGCCTGGCCAGTGCCTTGTCCTTCTCACCCATACCATTGCACAAACCATCCCATCCCATTCCATTCCATCCCATCCCATCCCACCCCACCCCACCCCATCCCACCCCACCCCACCCCATCCCATCCCATCCCATCCCATCCCATCCCATCCCATCCCATCCCATCCCTTCCCATCCCATCCCATCCGCGTTATAAGAGCCTTCCAAGGCTCGTCCACAGTCACCGGCTGAAACCATCTGGCCAGAGCCTTGCTCTTCTCCACCCAACCGCAGCACACATACCACATCCTCGTTATACCACATCCTCGTTATACCACATCCTCGTTATACCACATCCTCGTTATACCACATCCTCGTTATAGGATACAGTCTCCCACTCACCTCTGAGGGCTCGTCCACCGTCACCGGCTGAAAGCGCCGGGCCAGAGCCTTGTCCTTCTCAACCATACCACAGCACAACCGTCCCATCCCATCCGCGTTATAAGAGCATCCCACACCCACTCACCTCTGAAGGTTCCTCCACCGTCACCGGTTGAAAGCGCCTGGCCAGTGCCTTGTCCTTCTCAAGGTGCTTGCGGAACTCACTGGTGGTGGTGGTGGCGATGCACTGATGTTATGGGGGGAGGAAAAGGGAAGGGTGGGATAAAGGCGGAGAGCAGTAAGCACCAGACGTTGAGCCAGAGCCTTGTCCTTCTCGAGGTGCTTGCGGAACTCGCAGGTGGTGGTGGTGGCGATGCACTGATATATGGGAGGGGGGGAGACAAGGAAGGCGGTGAGGTGAAGGGGGAGAGTAAGCACCAGACGTTGAGCCAGAGCCTTGTCCTTCTCCAAGTGCTTGCTGAACTCACTGGTGGTGGTGACGATGCACTGATGGTTGAAGGGAAAAGGGGTGTAAGTGAGGGGACGGAAGGGGGGTTGGGGTGGTACATGGGAGGCCATAATGCACGTGTGGCCAATACCTTGCCCTTCTCCAAGTGCTTGCCGATTTCGCTGGTGGTTGTGGTGGCACAGATGCTCTGATAGTTGAGGGGGGGATGAAGGAAAGACGAGAGGTCAGGTGCAATAGGGGTAGAGACACAAGACACATTAGCAGCACTTGCAGCTAGAGCAGCCGAAGCAAAAGAGGGGCGACAGCCAAAGCGGATGAATGGGCAGCAGCACTAGCAGAAAAAGAAGCAGAGAGGCCAACACACGCCGCACTAGCAGAAGAAGAAGGGATTGCAACAACATTAACGGCAAATGTAAAAGTACGAAAGGCCACAAGGGCGACGCTGCAGGTAAAGCCGCTCACGGGGTGCGAAGAGGGGAGTGAGCGGCCCCAGCACAAGCGACTTTACCTGCAGCGTCACACTTGTAGCTCTTGCCATGGGTGTCTTTGCAATCATTTCTCCTGCTGCTAATGCGGTGTGTGCTGTTCCCCCTGCTTCAATATTTGGTTTGACTGTCACCCTCTCATCCACTTTGGCTGCTGCCCCTCAAATACCTTGGCTACTCCAGCTGCAAGCACTCGCAATGTGTCCTGTATCCAAACTCCTGCTGCACTCACCTTCTCTTCTCCAGTTGCTAATGCTGTCAAAGAAACTGCCTCTGCTATGAATGAGGCGTGCGTTGCTTCCCATGCTTTTTCTCCCTGTCGCCAGGCCAGCTCCCACCATCGTGTGACCTCATCTATCACTGCCAAAACCAAGATCATTCCTGAAGATTACCAGTCCAAACAGCACTCAACCGCACTCAGCCCCTAACACTGTCCCGTCCCCTCCCCACAGTGCCAGCTCCCACCATCGTGTGCACCTCATCTATCAACAAACAGCAGCACCAAGATCATTCCTCCAAATCAATTAATCAAACTGCACTCAATAACTCTCTATCTCACCTGAATCTGCCCTCGGGACAGAGCAGGCTTGAGCAGATTCGAGATGTCCAGTCCTGACCCTCCACCGTCCCTGCCCCTCCCCACGGCGCCAGCTCCCACCATCGTGTGCACCTCGTCTATCACCAGAATCACCTCCCCCGCTGCTGCCACCGCCTCTGCCACCAAAGAAGTCACCCTCAATTCTAACTCCCCTCTCTCCTTGGCTCCTGCCATCACCCTCCCCATGTCCAAGGATAGAAGCCGTTTGCCCTGGTGTCGAAAGCAGGGGAGAGAGAAAGAGAAAAGATTGTTTGAGAGCCGTATGCACCTCGTCTATCACCAGAATCACCTCCCCCGCTGCTGCCATCGCTTCGGCAACAAAGGACGTGACTCTCAGCTCTAGCTCGCCTTGCTCCTTCGCTCCTGCCAGAGATAGAAGGCGCTTCCTTCCCTTGGTGGACGAAGGGCGGAAGAGGGAAGGAGACAGACAGAGAGCAGGCCTTTATGTGAGGCTGTCTGTGTCTAAAAGACCACTCACTTGAAGGGCACTGTGGCACGGCACATCATTTTCTGAGATTCTCATCGCCAGACGCTTTTCCATGGCCGTCTTGTCTTGCCCACCCTCTCTGCAGGCAGCAACCCAGCCTACAGCAACAACACCTCTCACCTGCAGGAACGGCGGCACATCGTTTTCAACGATGCGCAGCGCCAAGCCCTCCGCTATGGCCGTCTTGCCCACCCCCGGCTGTGGAACCTGGCACATGCTACCCCGTTCCCAACCCAGCACATTCTTTTCCCCAAGACCTCTCACCTGTAGGAACGGTGGCACGTCGTTCTCTGCTATCCTAAGCGCCAGGCCCTCTGCTATGGCCGTCTTGCCCACCCCTGGCTCCCCCAGCAGCAGCGGGTTGTTCTTGGTGCGACGAGCAAGGATCTGAAAGGAATTAAGAGAACGTGAGAGGTGGCAGGCGGGAGGAAGGAGTGGTGGGGACGGAGAGGAGCGGAAGAAAGGGCAAACGGTTGAGCCAAAAAAAGGGTTCTAGGAGTTTTTGCCATTCCTTGTTGGCCTAGCAGCTAAGGGTTGGTGCAACGAGCGAGAAATAGATGGGGATAAGAAGGGGAGAAATAGGAGTGGAAGATTAACAAGTGGTGAGAGGGAAGGGTGGCACAAACTGTTGGGCCAAAGATACAAACGCCTTCTCTGGCCACCACGGCTTTCCTAGCAGCACGGGGTTGTCTTGGTGCAAGAGCGAGAGAGGATTTAGCTCTGTGACCTTTGCTCTTTGCCCCCCGCCCTTTGCCCTTCCTTTTTTCCCACAATACAAGGCTCTATATTTCTCATTATTTAGTTGTGTTTTCATTATTAATTGTACAGAATATATTTAAAACAACGAGCTCGTCTCTACCTCGACAACACCCAACCCAAGGCTGTCAAACTAAGGCCGAAAGACTCTCCCCTCCACATTCATTGGCTCTCTCGAGAGTCTCCCGAATCCGCTCTTCAGCGTGCCATAAAGGTACGAGAAGGGGTGACCAGCAGCATTCATGGCTGATGCATCGCCAGTGCTCTTCAAAAGGCATTCCGCAGGCAAGTACTCTGAACACAACGCTACATAATGGCGGGTATCTGCCCGTGAAATGTTGTTTGAAGAGAAGTCTTGATGCACTAGCCATGAATGCTACTGGACTCCGATTCCACTACCTTTTATGGCACACTGAATAGCGGAATCAAGAGACGTTCGAAAAAACAAAAGAATATGGAGAGAAGCGGCTCTTGGAGGACATGTAAAAGTACTAACCGACTCTTGAACAACGAATTTGATCTTGTTGACGGCTTTGAAAGTTGTCAGTCTGAGGTGTTTCGTGGCAGCATCTCAACACAAGAACGCACCTGCACCACCCGAGCGACCTCCGCCTCTCGGCCAATCACAGGGTCGATCCCTCCCTGCACCGCCATGGCCGTCAGATCCGTGCAGAACTGCTCCAACGCGCTCTGCTGCGCTGCTGTTCGAGTAGGGGGGGGGCGGGGGAATGGAATGATAAATAGACATGACGAAATGAGAGGGAAGGAGTGACAAGCCAACCTCATCGATCCCTGCCTGCACCGCCATGGCCGTTAGATCCGTGCAGAACTGCTCCAACGCACTCTGCTGCGCTGATGCTTGTGAGGGGGATATGTTATGAAGGGAAAGAATGGAGAGAAAAGCAGCAACACAATGCTCCTGAATCCTGCACCATACTGCACAGCCATGGCCGTTATGCCAGTACAGAACTGCTTCGAAGCACTTCGAGCTGCTGCTGCGGAGTAGCGGGGAAGGAAGAGATGGGAAGCTCAGGGGGGGAACGCTGTATCACACAAGGCAGGGCCTAAGCAATTCCTTTTTTGAGCGCCTCAAAAAGCGTCTCACTTCACAGGAATCACAGAAGGCTGGGCACGACTCCCTGTGCACCTGAGCCGCTCTAATGGGCAATTCTTTCTTGATGATGGTTTCGAGAACCGGCTATAATAAGCTTTCGTACATCTGCTAGCTTTTCTTGTTCCTGTTGCTTAAGTACTTCTATTCTTGCCCAATTCGCCCTTGTGACGGTACAACACAGGGAAATCGTTCTTCTTTCGTACCTTTCTTCCCGCGTCCCTTGCGGCCTGGCGAAACTGGAAACTTTCTAGTGGGACTGCTACTGGGGCTGGTGGAGGGCCAAGAGGAGGAGTTGGTGATGGAGTCGGAAGAACGCCCGTCCCCGTCCAGCTCGCCCTTGAGCCGCGCGAACCAACACACACACACACAAGAAGAGGCCACCAGGCAGAGCACAACTACTTGGACGCACCAAACCAAACCATCCACCCCACCACAACAAGCCCCTCTCACCTTTCTTCCCGCACCCCTTGCGGACTGGCGAACTAGCATACTTGCTAGTGGGACTGCTGCGGCTGGTGGAGGGGCGAGAGGAGGGGTTGGTGATCAATTCCAAGGAGCGCAACACACCATCCGCCCCATCACACCAAGACAGACTCCCGTACCTTTCTTCCCACGCCCCTTGCGCACTGGCGAGCTGGCGGGTTTGCTGCTGCTGGGGCTGGCGGAGGGCCGCGAGGAAGGGTTGGTGATCGATTCCGAGGAGCGCCCGTCCCCGTCCAGCTCGCCTTTGAGGCGCGCCAACGCTGCCTCGTGCAGGCGATGCTGCTGCACTCCCAGGCTGAAAGTCAAAGCAGTCAACGCAGTCAACACAGAGAGTCAACGCAGTCAACAGGGGAGAGAGAGGGAGTAAAAGGAGTGCCCGTCGCGGTCCAGCTCGCCCTTGAGGCGCGCCAACGCTGCCTTGTGCAAGCGATGCTGCTGCACTCCCAAACTGAAAGTCAACGCAGTCAACAAAGGGGAGAAAGGGGGTTAGAGGGCCGGTCCAGCTCGCCCTTGAGCCGCGCCAACGCTGCCTCGTGCAGGCGGTGCTGCAGCACTCCCAGGCTGCCAGTCAACGCAGTCAATTAAGTCAACAGAGGAGAGGAACAGACAGAAAGAGTGAATCGGATGAGGGAGTGAGACACTACCGCTACCTACTCCAGACGATGCTGTACGCGACGTTTCAGGTGAAGTTTTTGCCACCCTACAAGCGTTGAGCATTCTTCTCACCTCGCAATTACCAACGCTGCTCCTTCCTGCTCCACTTGCACCAGTGCAACTGCCAGATGTTCCGGCGCGATGAAGCTATGACCCTAAGACATGGAAATCCGCATTCCGTGTGACGATGCTTCCCCCTAACACATGCAATTTCGCCTTTCGTTTGCAAATCATGACACGCACCGGACTCCAAAGTCAACCTTCTCACCTCGCCATCACCAACGCTGCTCCTTCCTGTTCCACTTGCACCAGCGCCACCGCCAGATGTTCCGGTGCGATGAAGTTATGACGATGCTTCCGCGATTCTTCCAGCGCCTTCTCAAACACCCGCTTGCTGCCGCTCGAAAACGGCACCTCCGACGCCGGCTTGCCGGCCGGGAGACCCCCCGCGGCTGGCAGCCGACCGTCTCGAATTAATTCTCCGACGGCGCCCCGCGCGCTGCGGATAGTCATCCCCAAGCCGAGATAACCGCCGGGTTTCCCGCCGCTCGCGAAATCCTCCGCAATTAGGCCGAGTAAAAGCTGCTCCGTCGCGACCTCTTTTCGCCCGAGCACCTTAGCTTCCGCTTGAGCCATCATCACGGCTTTAATCGCCCGCTCCGTGAAACGCTCGAATACCGCTGTCACGACCGCGCGCCGGCCGCAAGAAGCGGCGTCGGAGGCGGCGCTCGCAGGGAGAGATGGAGCCTGAATATGACGGTCCGCAGCTTCGTGGAAGGCCGCGGAGTGAGAAAGAGAGGAGGAGGAGGGGTTGCTGGGGAGCTTCTGACGGTGCAGGCCGTCAAACGCGCCGTGAAACACGGAGGTTGCAGCATGGGAGCGAGTGGCGGACGAGTTTAGATTGAGCTGACGCAGAAGGGGAGAGGAACGGGGTAGCGATGCACGGACGAGAGAGGAGGGAGCGATAATTGCAGAGGAAAGAGAGGACGGGGAGAAAATAGACGATGGAGACGTCTGGTAGCTCATGGCGGATAGCGAGTGAGGTCCCGTGGAGCCGAATGGTGGTATTCAAATTTCGTCTGCAAAAACTACAGACTTCGGTTTCTGAAGGCGAGAAGGTCTCAGACGGAGCCCTTGTGAGCCGTCTAGGAGATAACGGCGAGCCCGTTGACCCTCTCGCGAGTGCTGCTCGCAAAAAAGCTGATTCTGACCTAAAGCGCGGAGAGACGAACACAGCTTGAAGCTGGAATTATATACGGATGAGGAACTGAGCTATGCTGCTCAATCAGCGAGTTTCACCAACTTCAGATAACACCATGCAACGTTTGGATGCCTTACGAAATGGCCCTTGGGGACAGAAAAACTGGTGTGGTGTGGGTGAAGAGGGTGAACATCGTGAAGAAGCCAAGGAAAGTCTTCACATGCTGCCCGTCTTGTGTTCGCGTGCAACATGGATTTCGCTCTGCGAGACAACGCTACAGAATTGCGACTTTAGCGAGGTGTGCCACTGGTGAACGGGTTCACACAGTGGTTACCAGCTTAGTTTTGAGCTCTGGGCGAAACCGCAACCTCTGCTCCATTCCAAGAATGGGTGAACAACAGAAATCAGCAAAATCTTGGGTCTGACTGCCCGAGCCGCCTCGGTTTCTCAACTCCTTTCCGCCCCTGTCATGCGAGTCTCTGCCGCATCCACGCGCTCAATTCCCCCACACTGCGCCATGCTGCTTGCCTCTCTGGCAGACCCCTCCGCCGATTGCCCGAGCGCAGCAAGGAATGCGCGCCGCAAGCAATCTGCCCATCTGAAGAACCGCCAGCTTGATTTCGTGACAGGTGACGTGGATCCGCATTCGCAGATCCAAAGGCAAGACGGGCACATGCTGCCAATGAGATCAACGCCGAAGTGAGGGAAGGAAGCTGATTTGCTAATAGCATGGGCGGTTCCTTGGGAGCGTTTCATTGGGTTGAACGACGTGTGATTCTGGGTTACCGCGTCAGCCAAATCTTCCCTCCTGACCCCTAAAGTTATCCTCGTTATCGTACTCGGTGTTTGTGGTAGATCAACCGTACATTCTGGTTTGCCACTAACATGTTTCAAGGGCCTGACTTCCAAATGTTGCAATAAGAATTGCCCATGAATGCAATGTGGTGGGTGAACGGCTTCTTTCATCAATCAAGCGTCCAATCTACATCCATCTCATCTACCATCTTCAACTGACGCTTGCAATGCAGCTTTTTCCCTCTATCTTGAGATGTCATTGAAATCTTACTCAGCCTTTCCAGGATGGCAGCTTCCACATCTTTGATGTCCTCAACACCCAATATCTTGGAGCACTCTTCTTGAAAATGTGGATTGCTGGAATCCGTCACTATAGCTGCAAGGCTGGTTGCCAGATCCGGCAAGCAATTGCCAACCTGAAAGACAAAACTCATCATCCACTGATCCACTAACCACAATATAGCGAGCATGTCATCCCTTGTTTACCTTTGCTTGATGTACAGATGAAAACTCTCCGGGAACCTGAGTCTTGAGCGGTTGCAACGATGCTATAACTGCATCCTTGACAAGCTTCAAAAGGATTTTCCGCGGAACAATTTCAGATTTTGCACTGCTTCATGGAAAGTTGGGTGCAACTTAGAAAGCAGAACACGACAATCCAGACAACTAAAAACAATACGTAGGGAAGAGGGAGTGATAAAGCAAGAGATCCGGGTAGATGGGAGCGAGACGCATACGATGAGATATGTTGGCTGTGCAGATGGAGACATATATTGAGGTGCTTCTCCATATAACTCTTCTCGGTGTGGAGAATACCGTAAAAACTGTGAATAGCAGCATCCGCAATGCTAATTCCGAAACCGCTCCAGAGCTTGCTTTCAGACAAGGCCACTACGAGACTGGATCCATCAAGAAGGGGCGACCAGTCTTTGAACACCTTCACCTGGAAGTTAATAAAAGCACTCGTTAATGCTTCAAAAAAGGGCGAAAGAGGATAATGGTCCTAATCTAGTTTTCACTCACAGTGATTTCGTCCTTCGACCCTTCTTCGTACGAAGCAATGCAGTCCAAATTCCATGAGCGATGAGTCGCGCTACCTGATGCGATACATGGAGCAGCCTTTGTCTGCCCCTGCCCCGAGTCTGACCTAACATCACGTTCTGATAACCACGACTGGAGCACGCCTGTCTTGAACCTTTCTAATCTGCTGAGCTCAAAGGCTTCGTCATCTGGAGCATAGGATAACTGTAGCACCCCAGGGGCGGCCTCTTTTGGTGCGGACGGTAAGTCATGGACCAATGTTAGAAACTCGTCGCAGAAATTTCCCAATGAAAGGCTGATAGCAGTCTGAAACGTGTCATGGGGGATGAGGTGGTAATTCATGCCACAAGCAAAGAAACAGCAAACAGATTCGGCGTACCTGTGATTGAAGTACGGTCACCTGAACACAAAAAAGGTGTAATTTCAGTATTAACCATTGCGTTCGCTACTTGTGCCATAACAATGTGTACGCACCATCCCGATGAGCTCGTAGAGTCTCAGCGCAGCATCCTCTACGACTCCATGAAATTCGAAAGAAACCTCAAAGCCAGAAAAGTAGGCTCCCTTTGGCTTTGCAATGGAGGGGAGCTGAGACCATGTCGGTTGACCTTCATCTGGAATGTCGACAACGTACCTCTTGACGTCGGTGTCGTGAATTCCTGTGGCAATTGCCCATATGAAATGTTTCCATTGATTCAAACCAGAAAATGCCCACAACACACTTACCTGTGGTCATCAAAGCAACGGCGTCACCTGCGGACAGGGAAAACCGGAAAAGTTGATGTTTTGAATTTCTCCCAAGCAACAAATTGGCTACAAAAAGGTGCTTTGGAAGTTTCCGAATGGCCGACAGAATCTTGTAGGGTTCTCACCCCATGCAATCTGTGGGAAACCAAGTGCACCAGCCGTCTGCTGGAAGGTAGTAGACGAAACTAGACGATTGATGAAAGTTGCGGGATTCTTGTCTGCCAGAGGCTCTCCAGTGTGATTTATCGCAAATGTTCCTTTTGAAGCCTCGACATTATCTTCTGAATTGACACCAGCAACTTTGGCTAGCGAGATAGTGATGCATCTGGAATCTGCTTCATCCGTAAGTCCAGATTGACAGCACCTAATGGCTTCGACGACCAGCGCGTGAATTGCGGCCATACCGTCTAGCCTAGCATGACAGACCTCCATCTTGCGATTTGACAAAAAGGAAACGCGACCCAAACAAGCCTTGAAGGAGAGGATTCGTCGACTAGCTGTGGTACAGCGATGAAGTGCTCTTGGCTTGGAGTTTTGTGTATGTTCCCTTGGGTTCTCGGGGCTTGAGAGCCATTCTTGACAGCCACTTTGAATAAACGTGGCTGTCAAGAGAACGAGTACACGGTGTGAATTCAAAGTGGCTGTCAAGCCCCGAGAATAAACAAAGTGGCTGTCAAGAGTGGCTGTCAAGCCCCGAGAATAAACGACGAGAATTGGTCACGTTGAACAAACGACGCTTCGATTGCAGAGAACGAGTACACGGTGTGAATTCCTAAATATAAATATCACAAGAAGATTCAATCAACCAATCATCTACAGCTGCTTTCTTTAATGGACTCAGTTGCCTATTCTCCTCTCTATCGATATGGATAAACTCTGCGCAATGGAAGAAAGAAATAATAATAATAATAAAAAAAAAATGATCGGTTGGGAAATGGGAGTGGAAGGCAAGTGATATTTGAGGCCAAAAAAACATGAACATATCAAGCAAACCAGTTACCTCTGGTCTGTGCATAGTGCCGCTTAAATAATCAACGCACCTTTGCATTCCCTGATTGGTCGAAGTGAGCCCGTGAGACGATAGCCTGGTTGGAAGAAAACAGCCACCCAACCTCTACATGAAACAAGCTTTCTCCCGACAATTCATCCACCTTATGCACATGACTCCAGACTCCCTGAAAGGCCACAGTGGCAGCAGGGGAAGGGAAGGGGAGGAGGAAAATGAAACGAGAGAAAGAGGAAAGCATCGGGTGGTAGAATGGATGGGGTGCGAGGAAACAGCGGGAAGGAGGAACAGAGAAAACAGAGAGACTGGGCAAAGGGGAAGGGATAGAGAAATAGAGGGGGTGGGAGGAGGGAGAGAGTGACGATGAAAAGTAAGGAGAAATCCAGCAAAGCGGGGACAACATCCCATCAGAAGAGTCATATCCTTCCCTTAATACTGAGTTCTAAAAGCTTCCCTACCTCTGGGAGCAGCATGAACGTCCCATCCTCCAAAGCAGAGGTATCCATCTGTCTCGAGAGCTCCGTTTGGATTGGCTCTGTTAACTCCAGAGCAACGAGTGATGATGAGATGGCTGGCTGCTGGGCGCGAGGGTGGGGGGTTTAAGAGGGTTGAGAGGATTGAGGAACGGTGTATGAGTAAGCGACAGAGGCAAGAAAAAGGGAAGTAGGGAAGTAGGAAAAGAAACAGGGCAAGTCTATGTTTATCTCGCATACAAGTGACAACGGCTGAGGGGAGCCTGAGGGGAGTGAATTAATTTAATTAGTGAGTGAATGCATTATTGACTGAATCAGGTCAGAGAGTTACCATCACTAGCAACAAGAGCCCATAGCATTTGAGATGAACCTTACAGCTGTGGGCACTTGAGCTTCTCTCGCCGTCACCCCCCACCGCCCCTCAATCTCCTTCACCCTGCCTTCCCGCACTGCCTCACTCCCTTCCCCCTCCTCAACCATCTCCGAACTGAACAGTGCTGCGCCATCCGCCAGCTCAGCGCCGCCCGAAAACGGCTCCACCCACTTCTCCCTGTGCAGTGCCAGGCTGGCAAGCCGAGGCACGGCCAACGCTCCTCCTCCTCCTCTGCTTCCTCCTCTTCCTCCTGCTGCTGAATTCTGTGGTGCGAATTGCTGCACAACGCGCACTCTCACTCTTCCCTTACCACTTGCAGCCTCCACCCCTTCCAAGGCCAAACAATGTTCCACCTGAAACGGCCCTCCTGCCATGCTGCCGATCCCCCCGTTTGAATCACGCTCGTTAGAGTCACGGGCTGTGGATTCAGTGCCACGTGGCACCCACTGAGTGGCCCGCATGGCGTCCACGCTGGCAGGCGCGGGCATGGTGGAGGACTGGCCAGCTCGGACGAGCAGATAAGAGCCATCTGCCGTGAATGCAAACAACTCGCTGGCAGCAGCAGCAGCAGCGCCACCAGCAGGAGCAGCAGATAAGTCGAAAACCGTCCTTCCGATGCTGTATTTAGGCGGAGACGCCGCCTCACACCCCGCAGCAGGCGCGTACCGCACGAACGAAGAGAGAATCTCGGCATTCCCAAGGGCCTCCCCGCGAGCGACGCTGGAGGTCTGGGATTGCCACGCGTATTGGACCAGCCCCCAGTCGCGGAACGCCTCGGGAACGACGGATTGCGGCAACTCCAAGGGCTGCCCGAAGCGCGAGAAGTCGACGGAGTACCCCGCCCACTCGCCGGAAAACGCGGCGGAGAATGCAGGCCAGGCAGAAACGGCGGGTAGGGTTCGCGCGTGTGCGTCGGGTGCTGCGGACTGAGCGTTTTCTTGCGTTACGTTCGCTTGTGCTGCTGACACGTGGATGGAACGGGAAGCGCCTCGCGCGTGGTTAAAAGAGTCATGCTGATTAAAAGAAGCCGTCATCGCTTGCCGCCACGAACGGCGGCGCCAATGGGAGGTTCGCGGCGCAGTAGCAGGAACCCTAAGCTGGGTCACTGGAATTATCCGAAGAATTTCCGGTTGCTTCAATGGAGTTACATGATGAAGGCATTGGGACGGCAAACCCGTCCCTCGCGGAACGCACCGGACGCAGGACTGCATGGCGTGGCGACACGGCTTACGCTTCAAGAAAAGGCACCAGACACAAAAACCGCGGGCTTGATTGTGAATGGAAAGTGAAGCTGCTGAATTCTCCGCTGCAAGCGATTTCTGCTGTGAGTGAGACGGGCCGAGTCATGAGAGTCGATATGGTGGGTGTTATTGCATTCATCGCTTGTAAGGAATTTTCCCGAATTCCTTATCGGGGCTGACTGCTACGCGTACAGCCCGATTTTCGGACTTTGCACGTTCGGCCGCCGAGGCTCCTCGCGTCGCCTTCGGCATTTCCCATCGCCAAACCTGCACCCCAACCTCTCTCGTCCGAGGTTTCCTCCTAGCTAGGCTAGCTCCTACATTAGTGCGTTCCTTCATTGTATTCTCAGTTCAGTTAATCACAGTCTCGTTATTCGTTTACCTGCGCACTCTCTTTTACAACTCATAACACCTGGTATCAGAGCTACTTTCCTAGTTCACCCCGCTTTTCCGAGGGTAGTTTGGTGGCATAGGGTGTGGCTGGTTTAGTGACTACACGACGGTTGGCTGCAGGGATTGTTGATTCAATCCTGCCCGACTCCGATAGTTCGTGTTTTCACTTGCCTGAAGGCCACGGATACCCGACTGCCCACCAGACGTAGCGCTAGGCACATGGATCAGGAGGCGGTTAACAGGATGATGGCGCAAGTGGCAGAAATGCAGGAGAGCATGACGTCGTTAATGGCGGAAGTGACAACACAGCGTGAAGAAAACGCCGAGCTGCGCCAGACGCGAGGTGAAGCGCGTCAGGTGTCGCCCGAGGACGAAAGCGAGGGCAACAGTCAAGCGGTGAGCAATCCCTTGGACGCGCTCACACGTGACTTCGAAGAGGAGGATAGGCAGCGAGCGGCATCAACGCCAGTTGCAGTAACGACGATCAAGATCAAGCCCGTCAACCCGCCCCCGTTTAATCCTACGGACAAGACGGTTACAGTGAAAGGGTGGCTGTTCGGGGTCGAGGTCTTCTTCACTGCAGCAGGAGTTAATGACGATGCCACGCGTATTAATTACGCGGTTTCGCTTCTTCGAGGTGCAGCGCTTGAGTGGTGGCGTCGAACTTTGGAAACGGGGACGCCGACAGGTGTGACGCATGCGGCAGACGGGACCTCAACAGTGACTAATCAAGTGGCAGAATCGATCTTCGGAGTGACCAGGATACGCACATGGAAGGAGTGGGGCGCAGCCTTACGAGATCGCTTCGAGCACGTATCCGCCTCGGAGCAAGCTCGCATGAAGCTGCGTGCATGGTCGCAGATGGCTTCTGTCCAAGACTACACGGCGTCATTTATGGGCCTCGCCGACCAAGTTGATGACATGTCGGAAGCTGAGCGGTTAGATAAATACATCAGCGGCCTCAAATACGAGATACAGTACGAGGTTCGCAGGGGCCGCCCGACATCATTTCTTGAAGCAGTTTGGCTGGCGGAGTCTACAGATGCGCTGATGCAGTACGCGAGAACAACTTCCAGGGATGGAAACCGTTTTCGTGGCCAGACCCATCGGGCCACAATCAACGCCGTCCATACACCCGACCGGCCTCCTAAGGGTCCGTGTTTTCGGTGTGGGAAGGTGGGTCACTACATGAAAGACTGCCACGAGAAAACGCCGCTGACGGGGAACGACAGGAAGGAGCAGGGAAATGGGAAGAGTCAGTAATTAGCGGGCCCTTTACTGACTGTGCTCCGTCGCCCGAACCCCACCATCCCCACCGAGTCGTGGTTCCGATTCATGCAATCGATCGCACTCGGCCGAATAACGGGGATACACATGTGGATCACCCTGTGCTGGTCGCTGGCAAGGTGTTAAAAAATAACTTGAAAATGTTCGTCGACGGAGGGGCCAGCCATAGCCTCTTCAATTTGGCGAGCGCAAAAAAATGCAAGCTGCAACTTGACAGGTGTCTGCCCGAAATCGACGCTCGCCTCGTGGATGGGACGCCTCTGGCGATAACGGAAGAAACACGGACGGTCAGGATCGAATGCGGCGACGATTTCGGCTTCAGCATGAAGTTTCTCGCGACGACGCTGGATGGCTGCGACGTACTGCTGGGACGTGATTGGCTGCGACGGCACAACCCCGTCATCGACTAGACAACGGAATCGTGCAGCATCAACAAGCACGAGGGGCTAATTAAACTGCCTGCATGGACACCTGACTACATCCAAGCCCCGTGCGTCAAAGCTATCACTATAGCTCGCCACTTCAACAAGGGCGCGCAGCTGTTCGCTGTTTGCTTACGCGAGTTGGCAGTTGACACCGACGGAAAAGAGATCGAGAAGCTGTGTGCAACTGTACCACCGGATTTAGCGGAGCTGATTCGGAGGTACCCGGACATCTTCCCCGACGATCTGCCACCTGGACTGCCACCCGAGAGACCTGAGGACCACAAAATCCAGCTGGAACCTGGCGCGCAGCCGACTGTTCGGACACAGTGGCGGTTGACCCAGCCGGAACTCGAGGAGCTGCGAAGTCAAATTGACGCACTGTTGGAGAAAGGGTTCATTCGGGCCAGCACATCTCCCTTCGCAGCACCGATCCTGTTCACTCCGAAGAAAGACGGCGGGCTTCGCATGTGCATCGACTATCGCGCGCTGAACCGGGTCACCATCAAGTCTCGCTATCCAATCCCACGCACCGACGACCTCCTCGACCAACTTCGCGGCGCTCGCTATTTCTCGAAGATTGACTTACGTGGCGGTTACCACCAGATTCGAGTCTTCGCCGACGACTGTCACAAGACTGCGTTTCGCACACGCTACGGGAGTTACGAATTTACAATGATGCCTTTCGGCCTCACGAACGCGCCTTCGACATTTCAACTCACCATGAACAGGGTTTTTCGGGATCTTCTAGACCGATGTGTCATCGTCTACTTGGACGATATCCTGATTTTTAGCAAGACAAGGGAGCAGCACCTCCGCGACCTGGATGCAGTGTTTAAGCGGCTGCAAGAGAACCGACTCATCACCAAGGGCTCTAAGTGCGAGTTTTTTAAGCAGGTTTTGGAGTTTTTGGGGCACGTCATCTCACGCGACGGCATTAAAATCGACCCGACGAAAATCAAGACCATCCAGGAGTGGAAGTCCCCGACGAATGTCACGGAACTACAGAGTTTTCTCGGCTTCGTGAATTATGTCAGGCGGTTTATCCCGAATATGGCGGGGATAACTGGCCCGCTGACCGACCTGCTGCACAAGGACAGAAATTTTGTGTGGGGGGAGGAGGCAGAAGCTGCTTTCCAGGAACTCAAGAATTTTCTCGTTTCCCCTCCTGTGCTGCGCATCGCCGACCCATCAAAGCCGTTCGAAGTCGTCACCGACGCCTCAGATTTCGCCATCGGAGCTGTGCTTCTCCAAGATTTCGGGAACGGGTTGCAACCTATCGCCTACGAATCACGCAAGCTACAGGCAACCGAACGCAACTACCCGATCCACGACAAGGAGATGCTCGCCATCATACACGCGTTTAAATTATGGCGATGCTACCTGGTGGGCGCCGACGTCACTGTTCGCACGGACCACAAGTCCCTACAGTACCTGCGAGCCCAACCCAACCTCAACCCACGACAGATTCGGTGGCTGGACTACATGGAGAGCCACTTCACCTACCGCATCACGTACAAAAAAGGGGCGAATAACATCGCCGACGCCCTGACCCGACCGACAGTACAATCCGCTGCAGTACTCATCATTCATTCGAACCCGTTACTTACTGGACTATTCACCCACGGCTACACTACGGACCCGTTCTTCACGACTGGGAACCACCAGCAGGCCACGACGCAGAAATTACTGCACCGTCAATATTACTGGCCGGAAGCACCGTCACCCATTACCTAAAAGCCGGGACCGACCGGATTTGGGTTCCCGCTTACAGGCTGCTGCGTGAACTCCTCATCCAAGAGGTCCACGATTCGAACTTCTCCGGACACTTCGGGGTTGATAAAACCCAGAAATTACTGCACCATCAATATTACTGGTCTGACTCCTCTAACGACGTGCAGCGATATGTGTCCTCATGCAGGGTGTGCCAAGCCATGAAGTCGACACGTCAACGACCAGCTGGGCTGCTGCAACCCCTCGAGCCACCCGAACGACCGTGGCAGCAAGTGACAATGGATTTTGTCACGGGGATGCCAGCTGGGCCGTCCGGCAACGACGCGGTGCTCGTCGTCGTCGATCGCTTCACGAAAATGGCGCATTTTGCCCCATGCCGAACGTCAATCACAGCCGAAGAAACTGCGCGCCTCTTCATCTCAACGGTCGTGCGACTGCACGGCATTCCTTCGGGGATCATCAGCGACCGAGACCCGAAGTTCACATCAAAATTCTGGAAGGAGACATGGGCGCAGTACGGCACGAAGCTACAATTCTCATCGGCATATCACCCGCAGGACGGCCAGACCGAGCGGACCAATCAGACCATGGAGCAGCTGATCAGGACAAACTGCCCCGACCCTGCCCGCTGGGAAGAATCTCTCGCAATGTTGGAGTTCGCTTTCAACAACGCGCCGTCCAGCACGACTAATCACTCCCCGTTTTTCCTGAATTACGGGATGGACCCGACGGTTCCTACAGCGACTTCCCTCGACAACCCGGTCCCGAGATCACAAACTTTTGTGACGGAACTTCAGGAAGTCCGCGAAAAAGCCGCCGACGCAATTCGCAAGGCGAATATCACTTCCTGCAAATACACCGACCTTCTACGCCGGGAACTCGTCTTGACTACTGGGCAACTAGTGCTACTCGACACGAAGAACCTGCACCTGCCCGGCCCGTCGAAATTACGGCCAC